AACTTATATGCAATGTGTGCAAACATTTTGAAATTCAAACATTTCTTTAATATTTCATATAATACTGTAATTTTTGAAAACTTCATTTATAATCAAACCATGGATATTGTTAAAAATAGTAAATACTAAACCAATGACTAAATGAGATAATTAAAATGAAGAAATGTCGTACTATGAATTACAAATATTGATTTAGTGAGCAGAATTTGAATTATACGAATAATTGGAAGAATCTAATTTTAGAAAAGTAGAAAACTAGTCATATCACCAAGTGGACAAAGTTTAATGTATTTAGGATGGTCTTCATTTTCTAGAATGAGATTAGAATTGAATTTTGTCATTTTCTCATAATTTGTCAAGTAATGCAATAATTGAACGTTTTAATCCATTTCGAACTTCTCATATTTAATGCCGTTGAACAATTTCTAAAATTGTTGAGATGTCGAGATTTTGAGAAAGTCAGATAATTTTATTTGAAACATAGTTTGGCCTGCTAAATAAGTTTGTTGTCTTAAAGACTTATATGTCTGAATAAAGTTTTTGTCATCATTCGTTTGCCGGTGTAAGATTGTTTGTCCATATCAGTGATGAAAAAATTAATAATAAATGAGTAATATGTCACATAATATGAAATACAGAGTACCGTCTAATTCATCGATCTGACAACATACTACATTTTATTTGAAATACATAAAACATTAATTCGAATGGATGTATTTCATCCATTTATTCGCATGAAATTGAGTCTGATTTATCATGTGAGCTGTTTTAGCATTAAAAAAAATTTACCTTTATTTTCTACCACTTGAATTTTATTGATAGTAATTCTTTCATGCTGTGAAACTCTCCGACACTGTGTCATACTGTTCTCGAAAATTTTATTCTAACGAATATTACAAAGTTTTGAAACTCCTAGTTTATCCAGAACTCTAATTTTAATTTACAAATAGATGGATCAGCTGCTGAAAAAATATTTATAAAATTCCAACAAGCTGGATGGGTAGAAGATTACTGTCAAGAAAATGGATTATCGCTGAACCATAATTTAACAAGGAACTGAACTGTTTATGACTAAGAAAAACATTTGGGCAGAAAATGACTAAAAAAAGTGACGATTTATAAAACGGTTTTAAAGCAAAGGATTATAATGAGAGTGCATGCCAATTTCAAACTAATTTATGGAAGGAATTGAAACTCAGCGATTGGAGAATATTCAACAATGTAATATGGTTAGTGGATATCGAGCAGCAAAATTAAAGCGAATGCTCAAAATAGGAGAACACACGTACACAACAAAAACAAGTCTTTTATTTCATTACATTTATATTAATGAAACTGTCCATTATGTTTCAAAAGTAACCATTTTCTCCCCTCAAAATCTAAGTTTCTTCTTGTAAGTGAAACCCGAAATTTACTAACAAATAAAGAAACCAACATTTTAAATGTTATTTGCAACAATCGGTATATAAATGACATTACGAGAGGATCTTTGTCAGGATAGCTACGATATTAAATTACTTCAGTCTTTCAAGCCTGTTCATATTATCAGAAAATTCTTTACTTTAATTTATCCACTAGCAAGACCTTTGGTGTCAATCCCAGGCAAAAATTTAAGTTTGAATTTAGTGAAAAACAAAAAATGTATGGAATAACTTAAAGAGTTTTTCCGAAAAAGATGCTCGAAATTTCACTTTTCAATTTTTAGCTATTTAACAACATATGTAAACACCGCTTCTACCTCCCAAAAATACTGTTAAAAATAAAATTAAAACTTACACCGGTGGTGCCGAAAATACATTATCCACTGCACAGGAACAGTTAGCGGACGGAAACAATAGCATGAATAACAACGGCCAACGTAACATAATCAGCTAACGTGTAGGAAAACGTTCAACAAAAACTAACAAATTAACTTGGGATTTTCCCAAATGTGAACAAACAAAAAAACACATACATGCAGACATAGTAAACACGCCCATTCCATCCCACTCGTAAATCATATTCTGGATAACGGAAACGTGTGTACTTCATTATTAAGAGCTTACAAAAAATTATATTATTTCAAAAGCCTGAATGCACAAACTTTTTCAACAGTTAAAATTCATAAAGATTAAAGAGATAATCGCAACGACTCAATAAATTTAAATGTTAATAAGGATGATAACCGCATAAAGATGAATTCATTCATCTGCCATTCATCATTCATCTGTCCTTAAAAATTAATTACTAATCAATTGCGAGAGTCGTCTTTAGGGAATGCCTTTAATATTCTAACTTCACTTTTTGGCCGATCATGAGCATCCGTATCCACCAGTCCGATTTTTTGCACCGCCTACAACAAAGTAACATCATTATATAGGATGGAGGCATAAATAAAGCAAGTCTTATCACTGTGAGCAAGGCAGTAATACTTTTCTTATACCGCAAAGTTAATTACCTGAAAAGATTCAATTGATATGAAATATTTATTCCTATTCCCATATTACTTGTTAATTCCATTAAAATGATGATGGCAAGTGGGATTTGAATGATGACGAAGTTCGAATTTTCATTCTTATATGAGTACACAACAATTATCATTTAACATTTTCTATGGAAGTATAAAATGTCAACACCATAAATCCTACGTCGCTTAACAGACTATTAGATGACACATTAGCATACAATAGACTATTAATCCATAGCCTTGAAATTGAGGTAATGAAGTATAGAAACAACTCATCATGGTTAGCAATTCTCATAATCCCTTCAAAATACTTCATAAAATCGGTCATAGTTGGGAATATGGAATGTCTCAGCTCATCACAACTAATAAGTTCCCATTGAATTGTACTGCTCAAAAGACTTAAGTGTTGCTCATCAGGTATTAGAATAGCTAGATCAATAGAATTTTATTCCACCTCGTCAACCAAGGTATCATGATTTACTTTTTTATCGTAATCTAGTAATAGCGTACGTAATATACGAAAATTTTCAAATAAAAGTGATTCTAATTTTCAAAATATCAAAGTTTTAAATAAAAATGAAGTGATGAAAACAACGTACTCTCATCCCAGAAGCGACCCGTCCAAAAATGGTATGTTTTCCATCCAGATGTTGTGCTGGTGCTAAAGTAATGAAAAACTGTGAGCCATTCGTGTTTGGTCCAGTATTAGCCATCGAAATGATCCCAGCACCGCTATGCTTTAAATTATCATGGATTTCATCCGGAAATCTATCACCAAAAATTGATGCACCACCACGACCTAAAATAAAAATTAGTCCATAGCTAAAAAAATGCAGCACAGTTTCTGTATCAGAAATAAGATTTATTGATAACAAGCAAAAGCTTCTCAATTCTTTTACGTTTGTTTAGTAAAAAGGTTTCCCATTTTACAAATCTAAACTCATTAACTATCAATTTTCATTAAGAAAAACCGGTTCCGGTGGGATCTCCGCCTTGTATCATGAAATCCGCAATTATCCTGTGAAATATAGTTCCATTGTAGTATCCGCGTCGAGCTAGTTCGGCAAAATTTTTACATGTTCTGGGAGCATGGTCCCAGTACAGTTCGATGCAGATCATTCCCATGCTTCAAATTCGAAAAAGTTCAGAAATTGAATCAAGCTAATAAATGCCAATAATTACCTTGTATTATTTAAATCTTTGTTATACTAGTTAGTTATATGGCATTCATGCCCGTATTTTTGAGCAATCATATTGTCGTTTGCAATATTACCAAAACTAATATTATCTAGATAATAAGATGACAGAGCAGAAAAAAGATATCATATAGACGACAATGTAATGGTGATAGTGCATGATAATATGATCCTCAAAGATAATATCGTACAAACAAATATCCATCATATTATCATAGTGACTGGCAAAATAAAGCTGACAGTACTACGATACCAAATATGTGTTCTATCTGTACTGTTATAAAATGTAGTGAATTTACCTCGTTTCCAAAGCAACGAATGGAGGTTTTGCAGAAGTAGAATACGACGTTGGCATTGAATTTGATCTATCTCAATAATCGGTCAATATCTGTAACGCTTTATCTTATAGAAAATTATGGCAAACATACAAAATATAGACATGTAATGCACAAAGTTCAATCGGAATGAGTGCATTCGCTGCATACAAAAGTTTAAATTTTTGCGAATTATTAACAAAAGTACTGCTGGCACCAACAAAACTAAAATTCTAAATAGTCATAAATTGGCAACTTGAACTTATTAGTTTATCTCGCAAAATTTTGAAAGCCACCAAAAGTTCAGATTTTTAGTTCAATTTTTCCTTACGGGAAGAAATGGCAGTACATGCAAATAACGTCAAATCCGACAGAAAATTTCCCTCCTGTTAAGCGGATGTGAAACTATTTCATAATTCCTCAACAGTACACCACTTTTTTCATAATCTCTAAATCTTTACCTAAGCTTAAATACCTAACCATTGATGCAGTTTTTTCTTTTTTCTTACAATACAATACATTTTACAATACATAATTTGATATGTTCTGGAAATAGTAGAACAGACAGCTTTGAACCGACCACGTAACGAGCAAGGAGAAATTAGCTTATCGGACCATTAACGTAGTTACAATTATGTATTAACGTAGTTACAATTATTTTCAAATTACGTATGTTACCTCAATTCACTTGATCAATATATCTGACTTAACGTAAACTTTCGGAACTTCTAACAAAGAACATAGAGACCTACGCTGAACTTAAAACCTCACAAGACGGCACTATCTCCCGGAAACAGCTCTCGTGTCCCTTCCCCATCACCCCGACCCTTTTCAACATTATTGGCTGCGTTAAATGATAACAGCTTTTCAACCATTTAAAATGATTTCGGTAGCATAATCGACATCATTGTTTGATTGTGGTACTCGATAACCGGCTCACTTGCTAACTATTGGTTTGTATTATTCGGTACTAAGGGTTCTGATACGGAGTTTTCTGATTTATTACTGCTGATGATAGAGACGGAGCAACATAATTAAGTTAACATGAGTATGCTGCAGCAAATATTAGATCAAGTATGTCTTTCTACTGTCGTTACATCCTGGAGGGTTTTCCTTTCATCGTTTCGGGATGTAAAACTTCAAGAAAAATCCTCGAAAAACGATTTCAAATGTAAAGGTTGAATGAAGATTTATTTACAAAGAAATATTCCAATTTGAGAGTAAATTTTATAATTATCATCGTTTTGGACTTCTAAACCTCTCCTGTGCTCGTTGTAGATGTTTGTGGATCCCGAAATTTTGGATGCTCTCGACGAGGAGCAAAAACAAATATTGTTTATCAAAATGCGAGAGGAACAAGTAAAACGTTGGAATGCTTTTAACGAGCAGTGTGAGAAGGAGGATGAGCCCCAAAGCAGCAAATCAAAGGATAGTTCGCGAGGAATCAAGTGCGAATTCTAGTCGAGGCAATAATCAAATGAACGGAAAATAAGCGGGGTCGGGATGCCCAATGAATTTTGAATTTTAGTTCTGTTATTAAAATGGTTTTTTTTTAGATGGTTGAAGGGAGAAGACGGCGAAGTTTGGGTTTGGGTTATGGGTGAACATAAAGATGATCTAACCATTGAACAAATTACGGAAAAACGAGCCCTTGAAGAAGCACGACAACTTGCTGAGAAAGAAATGCTGGAAAGCATGCGGTAGTCTTTGTTTTAATGCACATTGTTCATAGTAAATTTTCTTAGTATTATTCTAATTATCGGACCTTGACAGTATCCTGTTGGTGTGATAATATGCCTATATTTGTATAATTACCGTAATTCTTGTAGTTTAACGGAATTGAGTGATGATAATGCGGCTGTGGTCGAGCCACATGAAGATGAGAACACACTGAAAGAACAGCTGAGCCGTATTAAACCGTGGAATGGCGCACATGCGTCTTACAAAATACAGGTATGTATTGCATTGCACTTTCTGAGATTATTGTTTGCTTGTTTTGGAAGTGTATCTCGAGAAGTCTTGACATTCTATAAACTAATTCTGCTGGATCTTATTGTGCTTTTACACTTCTAGAGATCCCGAATATACCTCTTACGGTGATAGCTGTTAGATGCACTGATGTAGAATTTTATCTCACGGAATTTTTCTGTATGGCTCGTAGATTACAGTTACAGGAATCTGTATATGATGATGCAGATTCACTGTTTGGCTCATCGTATAATGGTAATGTACATTCTCCTTCGCGTATCACTCCTGCTCCAGGTTCGTCTCGCAAAGGGATCCTAAAGAAGTCTAAGGAAAATTTTACTACTGATAATAACAGTAATAAAGAGGATAAACTTTCAAACGATACTGACACTGAGACAGAGAAGACATGCGGCACTGATTTGTTAACTGATTCTTCGAAAGTAAGTTATTTCCTTTTTTTTAAAAAAAAAAAAAAACCTTCTATGTTCATTTGGTTTTAGCGGTAAAGTGAAGCGAACTGTGTTTTTACTTCTTCGAAAATTTGAGAATGTTCTTTTTTAGAGCAATGGTTCGGATGAACGCTCAGAAGTTTCGCCGACTACGCCTAATAATAGTTTCGGTGAAATCTTTGTCGGTGACCTGAGCCGTACGAACTCATCTTCTGGAAGTGAAGCAGTAAATGCTTCTCCTTATGGAGCTTACAGTAACTATTTGCCACTTTCGTCCCAGCCTATTGGGTCAGGCATCCGTCGTAGGCTAGGAAAAGGAGACATACTGGCAGGTTATGGCGGTCCAAGCGGAATGAAGGTTAGATTTAATCTGCTTGGTTTGTAACGATGTATTTTCGATTCTAGTATAACCCACCATGTTTGTCAGTAAATTGATTGTTTAGTATTGAAATAATTAATTTCAGATACCTAATACACCAATAAATGCTACAAAGCCTGCGTGGATGACTGGAAGTTGTCCTAATGGAAGCTTTTTCACTGTTCCACGAAGCCGATTTTGGAATATGAGCACAAAGATCACTCCTCCTCAGAAAGCAAACTCTGATAACGAGACGGTAGTGAAATTCCGACCTGATCTTAGTACCAGACATGAATTATCGGGTATATTCACTTTCCCATATACTTTTATCAATGAAATTTAACAATTCACCGTTTTTGATTGAAATTAATTATTTTTACAGACATCGACGAAGAACTCACCAAACGACAATCAGAAATTTTCGAACAGATCAAGGAAAAACATCAGCAGTTTGACAGAGAAGCAGAACAGGAGGCAAAACGTGTTGAACAAGCTTGGGAGGAACAAGGTCAGTTGGTATTAATGGCACATCAAATAGGTTTTCTCTCAGGAACTATTTGTGAATTTCTTGGAGTATATTGTTATGGCTGATGATGTTTTGGGTTATTTCTCTTCTTCCAGAAAGAAGAGCACGTGAAGCGGAAGCTCAAATTCGACAAATTGCGCAGAGAGCTCGTGAACAGCACCGTCAACAAAGTTTGCGTACATCCAGCTCAATTTTGCCGGTTCTGAAAAATATGAATCCTTCACGTTTGAGAAATGCTCTGTAAGTGTTGTCTTCATTTTCCTTTTCTGTTAAAAAATAGGAACAGTGAAAAAATGATCATTCAAGTATAATTAACTCCTCTGTTATGGAATATAGTCTCATAATAGGCCCAGCTCATTCTTTTTGAACTTTTTTTATCTATGAATGGAATGATTTGACACTGTAATGGTTATTTATGAGGGGCTTGTTCTCTCGGATTTGATTTATACGATTACGCTGTTCCACTGTTACGCAATGAAGTGTTCAAATCGAATTTTTCACAATGAAATTAAGAAGGGCAAATAATTCATATTAATCGGTTAGCTAAATTTTTCTAGGAAGAGTTTACCCCGTCCTCCCAAGCCAAAATCGCGTGATGCAATAATTAATTGGTTCAGAACTGAAGAGCTGCCACGAGGAACCGGTTTAGATCCAGTGACACGTCGACCAGCTGTTTGGTTCCATGGTTAATTATGTCTTCAGTCTTATTTAGATAAAATTTTGCTCTTCACGAAAAAAAGCTAGAAAACTTTTTCCTTTTTACAGTGTTCACACGTTACTTATTCTGGGCCTTTTACTTAGTCTCATCAAGAATAATCGACGTCTGGTTTTGATTTGATGTCTTTATGAAAAGCTTTTCATTATAGGAATCATACCACGAAGTAGAGCTGATCGACTGCTACAGAAAAAACCCTCTGGTTCATTTCTTATTCGCGTTTCGGAGCGTATTTGGGGTTATACCCTATCGTATGTGGTTGAAGATGGTAATGTAAAGCATTTTCTGATCGAAAAAATACCACAAGGCTATCAATTTCTGGGAATAAATCAAGTAGTGCACCGTCATCTTCGTGAACTTATTGCATTTCATAAGGTTTTTTTCGAACTTTTGCAAATGTTCATAAAATTCCTTATATATCAGTGACGTATATTTTGTTCAGGAGTAATTTTTCTCGTTTGTTCTTAATTTCTGTCGTTTAAAAGCCTATTTAAAATAGGAAATAGTTTTGTGCGATTTTTAAAATCATAACTCTATATAAGGAAACATTTAATCTAATTGATTTTTTAATTTTATTTTCTTGCATAACTTTTAAATTTTGAGTCTTGAATTGGACATAATGTTTTCTAGATTTCGCCAATAACAATTAGAGGACATGAGCTATTGCGCTGGGCGGTGGGACAAGTGGATACTGATTTGCCGGATTATGCTGATCTTATTTCTTCTGAATGAAACATATTTCTGGCACAATTACTATCTTCTTCGCTTTGCTTTACTTCCAGTGTTCCATTGTGATAAGTGCCTATGCTGTCATCTATGAATATCGCCCACAGATTCTGTCTACTTGTATAAATTGAATTGAATCTCTGACTTGTTCGAGAAGCATTATTAAAATTACTGTAATTTTTTACTTACATCGTATTAATTATTCGTGTAGCCTATTTGCTCATTCGTCTTTTTTCTGTATGTGTAAATGTGTGCCAAATTTGCCAAAAATGTTGCTGTAATTAAGTCATTAACTTTACCTGTGATGTAATTGTCAATGATAGCAACTATTAATTAATTTTTGTTTATAATGTTGAAAGGGTGAAAAGCTGAAAAGCAACTAAGTGATATGCAATAATTTTTTCTGTGATGTTTGTCAAAGGAGATCAGTGTAAATTTCTTCAATCGAAGAGATCTTCGGCTTTAGGTAAATTTCTCATTTCTATAATATTATAATCCCTCTTATATTGGCTTGTTTAGTTTTCGATTTTTGAAAAACCTGTAAATGACATTTCAGACGATAGTTGCCACTGAGCGGAATAATTGGTTTCTAATATTGCGTACATTTTACATATCACTTATCTCTTGCATATCAATTGTGAGAACTGCCGATGAGTTTGATGAAACTGTGTGCATAATAACTTCTTAATTAGCTGTTATAACCATTATGTGATGGAGTTATGAGATTTTGAGAAAAAGCTGTTCTGCAATCAAGTTTCTGTCATCTTTCAGCAACACAGTTTATTATGTCAGAATCAACGTTGATAATTTATTCTAGTTTTAAATTTTCATTATTTCCTGTAGGGTGCAATGTGGAAGAATGAAACTTCAGGCTGCATACATGCTTTAAAATGCAATATTGTATGATTACCGATGACGACGTATTCACTTGCTTTCACGTGTATTTGTAATTTCGTTCGTATGACAATCGGATATGTCAATCGACTCATCTTTTCCATACGTTATGTTCATTGCTCACATTTGTCTTTTTTTTTTTGAAATTTTGAACAATTTTGCCGGGTTACCACAATTCCTATTTATATCATCCCACTTGGCAGTGAATTTTGTTCCCATCGACACACATGTGTTTATGTGTATATGTGTATACAAATGTATGTTTTGAGGTTTGCAGCAGTATGATTTCGAATTTCTTCCTTATGAATTAATTGTATATTCCCATGTTGTTATTGTGCGTGATGCTACACCACAGCATATGTAATAAATTTATGAAACAAATTTGTCTGTTCAAAACTTTCAAAAGATGAAAAAGAATTTCAAAATTTGCTTAATCAAATTCGCTTTAATCACTTCCATTATTCATTTATTTTGTTTATAATACAAAAAAATCTTTTTAAAGAGAAAAAGAAGAAAGATGAAAGGAAAAAACAAGAATCCTTTAATTTACCGCAAAACTGCAATGTTTTCTTCGTTTAACTAGCCGCAATGTTTACCGGGAAATTCTCATAAAGAGATATTTGAAGGCGGTCGATATATAAGGAAGTTTTATATTATGAAATTAAATGAAAGAATTTCAATAATAAAAGGAAGTTGGTGGAAGTGTACAGCCAGCCTTCGTGCAGTATTATTGGTGCCGCAGCATAATGATGTCCACATTTAACCGATTTCGTTTCTCATTTCTTTTCAGTATATTGTGATAGAAATCCTGGAAAAAAGAAAGAAAAATTCTTAAACTTTGATCATAACGGGTGGTACTTTCCTTTTTTTTAAATTTAAGTTAATAAACTTTATGACTTAGAATTGATCGATAATTTTGTAAATATAAAAAGATTATCCATCGTTATCAACAAATAAAAAAATGAATTTTTCATAACTTTTAAATATATGTTGATTTAGATAGCATGATAAATTAATAGAGTTTAATATTTTTAAAATTATTTTTCATCCGTTTTATTAAATTGTAATCAAAAATATTTTAGTTTCTCTTTGTGGGCATGGAAAAAGAGAGGAATGGGAAAGGAGAGAAATGAATAAATCTTCCATTTCAAAGAATTCAACTGATTGAAAAATAATAAACTTCGAAAATTTTCCATAATTCAACAAATCATTCATCACTATCTATAAATTTCCCTTACATATATATATATATATATATATATATGCACGCTAATTAGATAGTGTACTAAATTAATAAAGGCTGATATTAAAAACTTAGCTGCCTTCTACAAATGCATCACTAGCTTCATTTATATCAATAATTTTTTTGCATTTCAATTTTATTGCAAGATATTCTTTTGCAATAGCTTTGCTACTACCACTTTGGTAAATAAACGATCGTTAGATCAGGTTATTGCGTAAGAATCACTATCTTTCGTCGTTTTTTTTGTTAACCTCAAGTATAATATTAATGATTTCAAATTACACAAATTTCTTTACTCTTTTTTTTTCTTCTCAATAAAAAGAAAATAGAAAAACAATATTTTATTCGAAAATTTGTTCCATAAAATTTATGAACCGTTGAAAATGCTGCAATTTTAAAGCATATTTGATGTAATTCATATGTATTGTAGTTATTTGTAACCGCAAATACCTTATCTTCACTTTATCGATTGAGTAAATTAAGTAAATTAAATTAAAAAATGTTAACTCGAAAATTGATTAAAACTAGCATAAATTTATAGTTTCATATAGAAGAAAATAATTCCCAAGAAATTAAATTCTTCTATCAAACCTCAAAATATCATGCAATAAGAAAATATAGGTGATGATTATTGGTTTTATATTTTCGTTAATTTATGAGAACCTTATTAAATTTATATATTTTATATTATATACGTACATCATGCTGGTATTATTTCGTTCATTTTCTTCCATGAGAGCAGAGAGGTTTTTTGTCTTTCTCTTTCCCTTTTTTATTAATATAAAATAGAATGAAATTTCGAAACTTGAAATTACATGGAGACTTAAAAAAGGTGAAAATTAATTTGTTTAAAATTTTTAAACAAAAATTTTGGAAAATGAAACTATGTCTCATTTTCTCTCTCTCCGTCTCTCTCTTATTTCTCCATCTTTTCCCTTCTTCGCCTTACTTGCTTGTTAGATTTTGAAATATTTGAAATTTCATTTCCCACTGAACTTAAAAATTTGAATGGTATTTATTACTTTCTACAAGTTTCAATCTTTATGTAAAACTTTCAGTCTCCTTTTTAGTAATCTGTCCAGTTACTTATTGATTTCATATTTTCCTAATCAAGAATATGTTGTGAACTGATTTTATGATAAGAATAACCTATTCAAGAATATGTTGTGCATTAATTTTATGATAATAATAATAAATGGTCAGTTGTTGTATCATATTTGCCGAAAATTCTGCATTTGAGAATGATATGAAGGAATGCTTTTCTGACATGTCTTGAAGATTTGTACTAATCGATGCTTGAAGCTATCGAACAATTTTATCTTCCCGGATACCATCAATTGAATTATTCTAATTAAATTTTGACTGTATTTTCGTGATGTGCTTAAAAATTTATGGAAGAAGGTATATTACGGACTATTGCTTTTCCGGACATCGTGAATTTAACTATCCAGATCATAATTTTTCTGAATAAGATATGATTATGCAAATCGAACAAATTTGTTCAAATTCAAATCAGTTGGTATTAGGGAATTCTGAAGGAATGGAATGCTATATTAAAAAAAATAAATTCATAAATACAAAGCCAATGACTAAACTTTCTTTATAACTCTTTTAGTTTTATTATCATTATCAGATTTGAAAGAACTGATTTATAACAGAAAAACTCTGAGGAAAAATTTGAAAAGAAAAACACAAGCTGGCAACATCGAGACAATATTATGTTAATAAATTATGATTGCATTATTATAATAAAAACTTTTACTTCCCCTTTTGTTCTCCCAGATTATTTCAAAAGTTTTTATACCTCTGTCAGTAGAGGGAATATTTCGATGTTGCAATGCTCAAGACTTATTTATGCCAGGTTTGCAAAAAGTTTTGAATTTCGAAACACGGACTAAAATGTTTGGAAAAGATGTCGAAAGGATTTAAGTATTTTAAATTTAATAACGGAAATGTGAAATTTTGAGGTAATGTTATTCGGCAAAAGTATTCGAAATGAAAACACAAGAAAGTGGTGAGGAGGAGATGTAAGAAAGAAAGAAAAATAAATGATACAGTCAGAATTACCACCATCTATTAACTAACGATCCTTCAGCAACATTTTGTTAAAATGAAGAAAATAGGCAGAAGAACGACACAACATTTATTAGATTATTTTTGAATCCGAATTAAAAAGTTTTGTATAATTATCTAAACAAAAAAAAAGTCACACCATAGTTATGTTGTCATTTTGATGGGATCACGATGGGTAACATCGCCAGATATCACTTTTTCATTTAATTCACTCACTGAGCATAAGCGGACTTAAGAAGTAATGGATAGTTAAGGCCATCGGGAAGTTTGTGCAGATGACCATGTAAGCTGTCCTCTAAATTCGTGAGAGTTTTTTTGAAGCAACCGTTGCATCAATTGAAATATTAGCTGCATCTAACATGCCACCAGTAGCTTTTCGTCTACTGTAAAGTGTATAATGTTAAGCATTTAATGTTTTACTGCAATTGTCAAAATCTAGATACAAAGAAAAGGTATAAAACAACAGTTGATTACTATTACATTTATAATGTATCTTCGTATTCACAATGCAAAACCAAAAGATAGAAATTGGAAATGAAATATAGATTATTATAATAAAATACAGGTTATTATATCGAAATAAAGATTATTATAATAAAATACAAGTTATTATACTAAAATACAGGTTACTATAATAAAATACAGATTATTATTATGAAATACAGGTTATTACTATGAAATACAGGTTATTATTATGAAATACAGGTTATTACTATGAAATACAGATTATTATTATGAAATACAGGTTATTATTATGAAATACAGGTTAGTATTATAAAATACAGGTTATTATTATGAAATACAGGTTAGTATTATAAAATATAGGTTAGTATTATAAAATACAGGTTATTATTATAAAATACAGGTTGTTATTATAAAATACAGGTTATTATTAGATGCAATGCTAAATAAAATCATTTCATGAAAAAGATACACAACTGAAAAATTTAAAAAGGAATACGAATTACAAATTATATTAATATTATTTGCAAAAGAAGTGTTAATTGCAAAGAAAAAAATCAGGAAAATAAACACCAACTTTCCCCAGAAAATCTCCATGGGTGATAAAGAAGGATAATAACAAAGGCATAGCTCATTTAATACAAAGATCTGAGGAAGAGAGATAGAAAGTACTCGATGACTTTCTCTGCAAAGCAGTTTAAAATAATAGAGCCCATCAAAGTTTTCTAAAATAATAGGGTCTATCAAATTCTATAAGTGAAAAAAACAACCATGAAAAAAAGAACAGTAAAAATGGGGCTCGTTTAGTATAAAGATCAGGGAGAGAGATACAGAGAAAGTACTCGTGTACCTTTTTTGTAAAGCAAATGAAGCGCTAAGAGCCAACATTTACACTGATCAAGTTTAATTTAGAATTTAAAGTGCACAGAATAATATCATGCACTATCTTTTTTGTTAAATTTGAAGATGAGCGTTTGAATGAAATAAAATGTTAAGTACGAGATCAGACGGTGATACAAAGCGAAACAGTAGATCGGGAAAACCTGTCAGGATGGATTTTTTTTTCTTTTTTGGGACAGAAAAGAAAGCAACATTAAAGCCAGGTTACCCGGACAAACAATAATAATAGCAACAAAGAGAAGTCAGCTACCGTTAAACGGAGAGAAAATCTGTTTTTTGCTTTCAACATGAATGAAAAAAACTACATGAATTTGATTGCAGGAAATGAATTCGCCATCCTCTAATAATCTATCAAAAAATCCAGAAAGCTGGATTTGCTTATCATAAAGAATTTGTGCAAAAATTGTTATATATATATATATATATATATGTATATCAGACAAGATATGTTTTGAATGCTCAAAAATATCAAGTGACAAATAATAGATGCTGTTCACTGGATATAAATTAAGTATGTAAATACAATTAATACCCACAATTCATTAAAGTCATAAAAAATTTTTTCAAGACATTTATTTAAAAAAAAAGAAAAACTGTTTGGATTGTGAAATCCAAGAATAAAAATTAATCATTCCGCATCATTGGCATTAAATACGGATGGTAACCGTGCTGATAATAAAGTTGATTTGGTAATGCAAATTGAGTACCACCAGCTGCTGATGGCATACCACCACCAAATGCGTCCATGAAATGACCCGAAAATGCGGCAGGTGGAGCAGGATACCTGAACGGAAAATATGCAAAATGAAAATAGAAGTAGTAATGAAGCCAAATTTCACTAGTAATAATTAGTTGCGTTGCAACTAATTATTACTACTGAAGTTACTAAGCTCTTCAATTAACAGATTAATCTGCTTTTTGCAAATAACAATAATAGTTACCTCCATGAAGCTGCTGCATTAGCCTGACCAGTGTTCGGTAACTCTGGACACTGTACACCGATCATTTGTTGCGGAGTTGCTGGTCCAATGGTTCCACTACCGCTTGATAACCCCATATTAGCACCGGTCTGAAAATAACGCCACACAACATGTGAATTGAGGAAGTTTAATTTACCTCAGTCCATTAAAATTAGAGCAATTTTTTTATGAAAAACATTGAAAAGATTTTCTCAGCATATATACATGAAATCTCTACCTAATTCCGAAAAATTAGAATAAAAAAAATTACCTGATGCATACCACGAGGATAAGAATACGAAAAGCCACTCTGAACAGCAGCTCCCATAGGATATGTTTTACCTATGCCACCTAAATGGGATGGATAGCTTACACTCGATGCTGGATAAGTTGCTGAAGCAGTCGCAGTCGACAGCGCATTCGGGTGAAACTGCGAATCGAAGTAAGCGGAATGTCGCGAATTTGCATAACCGCCAGCATAATAAGATCCTGCAAAATGGTGCCTTAGCGACATAAACGTAGGAGTTTTGTCACCGACATAAATTTTATTAAAGTTATGAAAAAAATAATCACACCAGCATCAGAAGGAAAACGTCAAATTGAATAAAAAATATTCTCAAAAACACCACGACTTGATTATTCGGCAAGTGATGATCCAGATTCAGTGCAATCAAAAACTGCCAGATTGGCAATTCAGAATTGTTAATTTCGAACTGTATCAGTAGTTTAAGTTACAAAACTTTTGCTTTTAAAAATACGATGAAATTATAGTTACGTAAAATATACTAAAAAAACACCTGTCTGAGAATGCGTGACTTGTGAAGGGCCCATAAATGATTGTCCTGCACTTGATGCTGCAATTACATATGGCGGAAGTGGCGCCGGAGGCATAAACATCTGCGCCCTCTGGCTATTTGAAACTGTTTTCGATGTACGGCTCTACAGAACAGAAATAAATTGCACAGAAAATCTTTGAAACATGTTAAAGAATTAGTCGATATGTTCAAAAAATTTTTCTCCTCTCATTACTTATTCATACATCCCTATCTGTTATTTCCACAAGTTAAACCGTAATTAAACATTAAGAAATGCAAAAACCACATACAAAAAACTTGAACAAAAAAATTCTATTTTTTTCAAAGCTACCATAATTGTACCTGGCTGGAGGTTTTAAAAAGTCAAGCAATAAAACAAAATTCGTGCCATTCCAAACCCCATATCGCTAAACGGATGTCAAAATTAAACCATCTTCACACTTTACTCAATTATGTCCTGTGTACAGAATGTCATTTCATAAGGTAGTACTGGCATCCACTACATAAATATTTCTTTATATTCCTGAACTACCGCTTTATTTTTGACCATAAACATAAGATTATATGCGATTGTCGAAAAAACTTACTTGGTCTTTTTTAGAACCGCGTCGATGAGAATGATGATGCTGAGTTGTTGCCGATGGTAACACCGTTGGCGTCGATGGTTTCACCATACTTTTTGTGTTGTTTGCCATCACCGGTGTTTCAGCCATCATAGTCAGACACATGTCTCCTGCCGTTGTAGTACAAAACATCATTTCCGAACCTAGAAATAATGCATCTAACTAATTCGCTCAATACCCCGATGGAGTCGCAAATTTTGACTGAGCAAGAACATGTGATTGGATCCTATTGAAGAGTAGTTAATGAAAAGGAAGTGAATGATAATAACCCTAAATTATACTTGGGTGGCTTTGAGTTGATAGATGATGTGGAGTTGACGGATTCGAGCGAACGCTATTTCTATCAACGGAACCGATGAAAACTTCTCCAGGACTTGCTTCAATTTGTGAAAGAGGAGTACGACAGGAGCCATCAGATGTATTGCGCTAAAACTCAACATTTCGATGATAAAAAAATAATTATTATATAACAAGCAGTAACATCAAGAAATCACCTTTTGCAAAGAACAGGGAGGTGATACGAAGCTTTGGGAAGAAAGATCTGAATGGATCGAACTCGGTGGCAAAATTGGAGACTGATTAAGGATTGAGTTTGGCTGCCGACAATTGTTGCTACTAAAATATGATAATTATCGAAATCATTCATGTTGGAGCTTTTCACAAGGCTGATTAAGCGATAAAATCTCATCCTAATTCTCTTGTCCTAAATTGTAAACTCCAACGTGAAACGTACCTCTGGAATACCGCTTGCTCAACTGTTTCCACGGAACTATCTTTTCCGATCGATGCGATTTCGCTTTTTTCGTCCTGAAACTTAACAGATAATTTCAAACTTAGCTTCAGAATATTAAAATTCGAACCAAGCTTAAACTGCAAACCGTATGTCCCATATCATGCTCCTCGTTTGGCAACGAAAGCATTGCTGGGGCTTTCGGAGGCCTATCCAATGCTGATGTTTCAAGCCTAAGCGGCAAAGCCTCTGATTTTCCATTCTTTCTATGGTTCGAATGACCACCACCTAATTCCTTCTGTTCTGCTTCACTTTCGCCTTCGCTTCCAGCATCGCCACCCAAATTAACCTGAAAATTCAAGACTTGACCAGGAGCCAAATGCCTGAAACATAGTTTTTTGAGAAGCTTTTAACACCCAAACTACTGTAATATTTGCCCTTAAAAAGTTAAATGAAACAAACCATTTCGCAAATGGTATTAGTAACAGATGTAATTCGTGACGTTGAATTATTTGACACCGTATCACAAGGTTTCGAAGGTGACGAAACAGCTAGCAAATCTGGAGCAGATTTGTTGGGCAATGTTTGACACAAAGATGGTATTGGCTCGAGTTCTTTCGGACTATTCGTGTCGCTACTTTCAACCTGAGAAATATAACGAATTTTTTTACATTGAGGTCAAAAAAGACATCAAACTGAAGCATTAAAAAACAAAAAAAACAAAGATAATGAGAGAAAGCATGAACACCATTAGTGTCCACACACGTTATTCAAAAATTCATCTGCGTATAACGCATTTTTGCATACCATAGCAAAGTTTGGCGATAACCTCGGCGGAACGTCTTCATCTTCTCCCTCATATGCACTATCATTCCCTGCAATATTCACACGAAGAAGTGGCATCCCGTTTGGAAAACTGCTTCCGGAGCAGCATGATCTATCCGGATTGTCCCATTCCTTTACTAGCTTATCCTGCAAACATGACAAGACATGATACCCAATCCGTGCCTCAAGAGATGTTCATCATTTCGAAATCATTAAAGAAAAGTTCCAAATGAACTCACTCAAGCATAGATAGGTTAACAGTAAAACAAAAAACAAAAATTCTTACTCTGCCGTCGACACCATCTGCTTCCAGTGTGGGCGGTAGCTCATCTTCATTATCAACACTTAATTCCAAACTTAAAGCAGAAATTATGAGTTAAGAATAATAAAAATATCGTTGAAATTAACATTGTGCATCAAGTCTAAAAGACCAAAAACAGCCCCACCTTTTTTCGTTTTTGTTTGATTGTTGCACATTAGCTGCAATCAGCTTATCGCAATCGGGAATTTCGCTTCCTGGTTCTTGGCTCATACTCAGTTTATGTCCATTTCCCAGTGGCTCTGGAGAATTGGCGCAACTGAAAGCGAAATTTTCAAAAATCTCGACAAAAGGTCGGAAATGTCCTACCCACAGTAAAACGGATGGACCAAATAAGATTTACCTTGAAAACAGCGGTTTTGTACTATTAGTTATTTTGCGTCGCTTCAAAATCAAAAGTGAGTCATCAGATGATCCCTCAGAACCAATTGAATCGGCGCTAGACGACACGTGATAAAGATGTAATTTATGGCAATTTCTGTAAATGAGCAAATATGACAAAAACATAGAAAATCGACTATGGCATGTATTCCTTAAAAAATATTAAGGAAATCTTAAAAACCAAATAAACATACGAATTTACGGTTTTCACGGGTACTCTTTTACTGTCTGGCGTATCGTGATCATTGACGTTATTCAGTTCGATTGATTCTACATTGGTGATATTTCTCTAAATTGAATCAACACTACCATAAGACATAATGATACACAGCAAGTGCACCTTTGCTTTTTTAGCAAATATAAATGGAAAATTTTCCCTTGTTTGCTTTTTTTATTTCTCTAAAAAACTTTTTTTCGGTTTGAATGAAATTTAACCAATTGCATGGAAAGCTGATACTAATTAGGAGAAAACTCATTACAAAAATTCAAATCCATTCATACCTGTTTTCGTCGTCTAAAATGAGAACGTGATATATGCTTTCTGTGTGAAGGTTTGCAAGCTTTTCCACTTTTCCGAACATCTGAACTAACATCACTTAGATCTGGAATGAAGTTTCTGATAAAGGTAAAAGGACAAACGACACAAACAAAGCCTTCATTCTTTTGCTATCTGGCACATCATGATCACTGAGACGTTATTTAAACAGAAAAATTAGCTACCATATCTCAGATTGAAATGATCAAAACAAAATACCTGATGAATCACTGTTTGATGATGACGGATACGTATACGGCTCAATCGCTACGGCCTTTTTCGTTCCACTTTTTCGGAAACGTCGGTTGGTAGTACTTCTCTTTGATATTTTCTTTTGACTCATCTCGGCTGAAATTTTACCAAGGCCTTCAGCAAGTTTGAAAACTTGCAGTAGAATAAATTTAAATTAAAAAAACTGAAACGACTTTTTTACTGCTTCATGGAACTTAATCCTACCTAAGCGCACATTCTTCCTTGCTTCTTTTTGCAACTTCACATCATCATCATCAGAATCATCACCGCTTGTTTTTCTCCAAATCCGTCTATTCTGCTTTCCATCTGTAACCAAAACAACATGTACACGGCAAACAGAACTGCCATTAATCTTGACACTACTTGGCAAAAGCTAATTCACATACCTCGACATGTAGTTTTAAAACTCATTACTGCCCTTTTGTCTTCATCCGACGTGTTGTCACCATATCGCTGCCTTCTAAGTATTGTTTTACCATTTTTGATGTTTTTTTCTCGAAAAAAATTATTTGTTTTGGATCCCTGCATACCACCACCAGAATTTGAATTCTGCATTATGTTTCCACGACTACGTCGTACTGTGGTTTGTCGAATAGGACTGGTAAAAGGGGAGCATAACACATGTGATGATCGCTCACCATACTCCTTTGAAGGCGAATGTGCAATTGGCAACCACTAAAATGAATGCTATGTAAATTCAAACTAAAACGCATGCTCCTTAAATCTCAACAGCATTATTAATTATTAAATATTTCGGGTGTCTGGTATACAGAACCGAATATGCATGGAGATTCCCAAATCCCTTCTTATATTATTCGGTAAACAAAACTGTATTGCGTTTCCTACAACACTTAGGTTTAACTTACTGATAACTTCGTTTCATCCAACCAAATACGCTTGGCGTCATTCTTTGCTCTAGTCCAGTGACTTTTCAACATCGTCATATTTAATACAATTACCATCCTGAAATACCATCTTATTAAATAATACACTAGCAGAATACTTCATAAACCGCATATTTCTAACCATGAGGAAAACATAGGCTTCTAAAAGAATGCCAAAACATAATCTACGATTATTATTACAAATTACTTGTGTGACTTCTGTCTGTAGTTCTGGAAAGTCATAATTTTGAAAAAAAAAACTAACTGAGAATCGATTCGCTGAAGTATATTCAATGACTGCAATGTTTCCATAACATCGTAAACCGAAATACCCGTCCCACGTGCAATACCTTAAATGCATTTTCAATATTTTAAAAGTGATTGAAATTCGTAATTCATTAGCAAAAATGTTAAGTAAAAAACATACCTCTCAAAGTTAGCCGTTTTGTTTTGTCGGGTGAAATATTCTTGTAAAGATATTCACAAATAGCTGATCGCCAATAACTTTTATAAGAAAAACGACCCAAATCTGACAAAGGTCTTTCTGGTGTCCCTGTCATGCCTTCTTTCCGACTCAACAAAAAGCCTGCAATCCGGCAGACAGTGTTAACATTAAGAAAACAGAATGCTACTTCTATCACGGTATGATTAAACTAAAAAAAGATCAATGAATTTCATTATCCAAATTAAGAAAAATGAGTTTTTACCAGGATTTCGGAAGAATTGCTATGGAAGAAATTCAAAGCCCTTCCGAATTTTACTGAACTAAATTATATCTTACACAGATATAGCTTATTCTAATAACTTAAAAAGAACTTACTAAAATCAATCAAAAACCTTCCAAATCCTTGTCTCTGATAAGAAGGTAATGTCATGATGCACGATAGATTATATTTTTGCGCACTATATTTTTCCTGAAAAGGAAGGGGGAATCAATAATGTGTGACAACGCTCAAAAGCACAACTTTTCAGCTGCTGGAATACAGGTAGAATCGATATAAATTGTCAAGTGACGAGTGCCATATCGTAGTGACATTTTACAGCAACTGATATATATATAGGATATGACATAAATTTGGGAAAAGCTTACCTTGGAAAAATATCCAACAAAATGACACCCACTGCTATCATTTCTTGTGACCACGTAAAATAAGAACGGTTCCACATCATAGTACAATGTTTTGTGATCCAGAAACAATTTCGCCAGAAGACAAATATTCTGACAGTAAATTCTGGAACAGTAACCATCTACCTGAAGAAGTTATAAAATTTTTAAAAAAACTTTAAAACAGATATTAGTTACAAATTTTTCTGTCTGATATAAAACTATCACTAAATGTCTTACCTCAAATACCGACACACCATCCTTCCGGTATATTTCATTGCCTGGGGGATGTCGAAGTTGACACCGTTCCTAGAAAAATTAAACATGATAGCATTTAAACAATTTAGTAAAGAATCAAATTACAATTCTCCAAATCACCTTTTATTAACAAAAAATAAGCCATGACTGTAAAAATCTCGACATCTCGCTAGATCTAATACGATATTCATGAAACAACCTGCAACATACCGAGTGTCTCTGCCTCATTTCCAAACTTTTCATGTATTTCATACAATATTCACACAGATATAAAACTGATAGCTGTGCATATTCCGCTGGATATGGTGCAGAATACCACGTTTCGATTTCAAAATTCCCAATTCGTATTGCTTTTGGATTCCGTGAACTATCAGTTGTGTCATTGAAAGTTTTGTGCTCTCCTGGGGTGCACTCACTTAGGATAGCGTTAAAGTCCTGGAAATTCAGGAAAGTGCTCAATGAGATGAAGTGCTCCAAAATACAACGTTTATTTAAACACGATGAAAATAATGAAAAATGTTTGGAACTTCTCAAAAATGGTCCTTTTGATCTTCAGTCCTTTTTTAAAACTTTATCCTTTTCCGAAAACTCATAAGAAACACTTCTTTCTAAACATGATAAATTAACGCGCTTTATATCAAAATGATACCAATCCAGCCAAATTACAAGCAGCACTGTATAATTCTCGATCTTCACTGGTTATAGCCACTGGTTCCGACAAAGAAACCGTTCCTCCTGCCATGTTTAATTCATCCAAATGAGGCTGACGAAGCGATACCACACGTTTCCTAAATAAGAATGTAGAACAAGAAAATGTGATAACCACCTTATATGAGATATTTTGAACAACAGCCCAATGCTCATATAAACAGGAACTCATAGAAGGATGGTCAATAGTAAAGATCACAAAATAATCGTTCACAAAATCAACAAATGAAACGCCCTAACAATGCTAAACTTCTCTAGATCGTCAAATGAACAACTTTGCAAATTTTGGTTCGGCAAATTCATAAGTTTATAGAAATGAAACTGAATATTTCAGAAGGAAACCTTGTCACCAGACGGGGAGATAATGACTGGCGTAATTTTAAGCGTGTTTTATGCGACTTGGCCTTTCGAATGATCGAAGCAGTCCGCAGTCTCCGTTGTGATACAAGTCCTTTGGGAACCAAACTTTTCAAACTGGATGATGACTGCAGCGATAAATGTCGTAATCCAGAATTCCGCGAGGAACACTCAACCTAAGACCCGTTTTCATAAAACATTTACAATCTCAAATCATATATAAGAAAGATCAGGAAAGTTTCAAAACACAAAAATTCATCTCATGAAATGAAAAAGTTGTATATGTCTGCTGCAGTAAGGACAACTGGAAAAAAAAGCGTATATGTTTCATGGCGTGGCAAAAAAATTCTACAGAGGCTTTACTAAAAATCCCAATCTAGTAAATAACAGAGCGAAAAACCGCATGCTTATACGTACACCGAAAAGTTCCCAATTATAAATTGAATATCGCATGAAACTCTCAACTTCATGACATAAATAAAGCAGCGCCAAAGTCAACAGCCTCTATGGTTTGAAAAGTCGTGTAAAACAGAAACGAAAATTTTTAAAATTACTAAGCATCTGATTTTACCGGAAATAAATATGTATTTTGAACTGAACGACGCTCTGATGCGTTTTCGTTTCTTCGAACATATATAGACGGTGAGGCATTTTGATATGATGCTGTCGGTTTACTTACATGTGTCGAATGGCGTTTCTTCCTTGCTGGACGTATAATACTCCTTAAAAAATACAAATATTTATTGGGTTTTCTAAGTAAACTGTAACTCCGCAACCAAATGAAAGTAAGAAGGAAAGCAATGTTTCGCTCTTGCGGCATCCACATTGAGTTGCTAAAACTTTGAAAAAATCAAGAGACTGATAAAGAGATGTAAGTATACCGTCGTTGCTCAGTACTAGAAAGTTCATCTTGTGATTCGCTCGATGTTACAGCTGTGCTGCTATGTGGTTGGTGTAAACAACTTGGAGAAAACGCACCTTCTTCTGAAGAAAGAGTAAAATTTATTAAAAGTCAAAAATTACAGATTACTTACTAGCTACTTAATATTTCCTCTCTCACACAGTAACTTGGTAGATGAAAGACGAACCATGGACCACGGTGCTCTCTCCACCTTTTATTCTTGTACGGCCACCAGAAAGATGAACATATTGTCCCTGAAATGTTAATATTCACTGCTTTGAACTTCAATCCACTAGAAAAAAAGTTATGAACTATTTCCAAAAATATAAGGAAATGAAGAAATAAAAAGACAGAAGTAACCAGATATTATTAACATGAGAATTGAAACACACTTTTGAAAAAGTCCGCCTCTTTTCGGAGGTTGCACTAAAATATGGAGACAGAGCATCAAAAAGTACATCGGTACGGCGATGAGGCGATGGTGTTGACTGCCCTACAATTTCAGCGGTTTAGCTTAAAATGAAAATGTCCTATATTCAGGACGAAAAGTTAAGAACAATCAAATATTCCAAGCTAGTTCAAAAAGAGCTTCAAGCCTAGATAAAAAGAATAATTTGTAAATTTACCCGATTTTAGAGATGAACTTATAGAAGGATGCGGAGGAGTAGACTGTAAATCACCATGTTTCGTATCAATAGAGATAGCAGAAAAGTGGTGCTAAAAATATAAGAATTGCATTTTAAGAAGTTAAAATGCTATGAAAATTATCCTCACAATGATCACCTGTATATTTGATAGAAAGAGTCTACTGTTTATACTGAGAAGAAATTTAAGAAAAAATAACATCTAATTAAACGTACAATTCTGCTTCCCGTCTTGTTAATTTCTCCAGAAATAACATTCTTTTTGATGTCTCTCGCTGAAATTTTTCTTACTGGCCTCGGGCTTCGTCTATTTCTCTCTCTATTCAAATCCTGAAATCTGACATGTGTGGAAACATCAAGCGCGAAAAATTCAGAACATCAAAGCTCCAAAATCCAAACTCGATGTTTTCGACCTTTTTGGAATCGATGCTCTTGCATGATGTGGCCCGTGATGATGAAGCACCAGGTTCAAAACTTTCCAACGAGAATGATGATTGTGCAACTCGAGAGCGCCTCTGATTGGTGGGGGTGAAAAATCGCGTCAAACTATCCTCAAAAAAAAGAAAATACTTCCGCTTTGAACCGCTATGATTACTAATAAGCACGAACAAAAGAAAAACTAGATTGCCCCTTCATAATTTTGTGTGAAATAATTGCACAAAAAACAAAAAATCAAATCGGATACCTGCAGATGCTTCAACTCACTCGATTTTTCTGCAGGAATTTCATTCACAGTTTTCCTAAAAATTAATAAAGTTTCATCTTTCAATATTAATCCTCACTTTTTATGTTCGTTTAACCTTCCGGTTACATTAATGCCACTTCCAAGTCCCATTTTCCAGGGAAAAAATGCTGCGGGATATGTCTCATTTAGAGATTATTATATAACGACAATACAGAATAATAATGAAATGGGATAACAAAGTTGTAATTCTGCTCAAATATGGTCATGAAGCACATTTTCAAGAATGCTCAAGAGAAACTAGTCTATTTCGCAAAACAAACAAAAAATTAGTCTCATGTATTGATAATGTATCTAACAAAATTAGTCTCATGTATTGATAACTGTATCTAACAGTTATCAATACATGAGACTAATTTTTCTAAACAAAATACATTAGGAATGAAATCAAATACTTACCGCGCGGGCATTACACGATAGCAGCTACACTCCAACCGGATGAAAGCTGATAATTTTCCTTATAGTACAGAAATATTCTTCCCGGAAACAAAACTCCTCTTTATAAAATTCGAAATCGAAAAGCACCGACAATTCAATCAACAGAAATTGAACAGAAAGTCACAGTGCAGACCGCGCAGTAATTTCATATCGCTGCAAAATGAAAAAAAAAATGGGTTAAAAAACATTTATATTGCAAGATTTTGAAACATCAGATGCAATGATTCGAGTTTTAGTGCTGTGAACACCATGCGGACTCAACATTGTATTTAACTGTTTCCAGCCCGGAAACATACTATGATGAAATTAAGTGTTGGCTGTGAATATTGAAAATTCCGGAACAAGCCACAATGCAATTTCATGTTTTAGTAAGCAAGAAACTAATAGATGATTCAATAAACCCCCAATACTTATCAAAAATGATGTGAAATAATTTTTTTTAATATTACTGATTTATCTCATTGCGATTTAAATTTGATAAAAAAATTGTACAGTGTGGAGAGATATCAAATTACACCAAAATGAGATTGCTATTGCGACATCAAAGACTATTTGAACCACTGGAAATTTCGCTAGTACCTGGATTAACGTGAAGAATGAACGCTGCTAATCTCTCGCGAAGCAGTGCAACTGAGATGACAAAATAAGCCTCGTCCAGAAGAATATGACGGAACGTGGTTCGATGTATTTGGATATCTTGGACAATCTTGATGCTACATACACATTCCTCGCATGTCATCACGCATTGACTATGCTTGACGCAGCAAATCGCACTAAATTATAGTTGGATGAGGTTAACAACTAATTAATCGCTTTGAGAAGAAGTGATTTCCTTCTAATGATTTTGTTTGCAATACCAACATTTGCAGGGTAATCCCGTGACCTATGCAAAAATGAGATAATTAAATCTGACAAAGTCTAATAAACACAACATTATCCATTTCGCAGAACCACTGTCAATAAGCAAACACACATGCACACATAATGAGAAACAAACAATCTAAGGACAATAGGTTAAATATATTGTAACATTGTCCAAAAAAGAATACGAAATCAATCACTATCGTAAGATAAGTGTCATTACAAAAATGTGAAGTATATATAAATATATACATATACATATATAAAAGAAATTCAACAATCTCGTCTATAACCATTATAAACAATTATCATTACAGATCATAATGCATAGACTCAGAACGTCCATTATAATCTGGTTATCCAGATTATACGCGGCTCATCTCGCTAACATAGTGCTGAACCAGATTATAACCAATTAAGCTAGACCGCTAACGCCCACAAACTTTCACTTCAGGCCGTAACACCACAATCAACAAATTAAGGCCACAGATGACAAATTAAAATCAATCTAGTGGAGTGCCACCGATCTGAAACTAACTCATCCCTCCCTCACTGGCTTATTGCAGCTCTCGACACGAAATTTGTGAAAGTCTGCAGCTAAAAAGTTATATGATTAGATGGGTCTTAACACGAGCGATGTTTTAATCGACGTGCATTGCTGTCGCCGGTTATGCGGCATACGATTGTTGACATGCGAATCTGGTTCGGAGTGAAAACTGAAAGTTTCAAGGATTAGCAGTCACGCATTAACCGTTGCATGAATTGAACGGAATCGATTTGTTGGCTAGCAAATGAATTTTTTCCTGGGGAGCTACGTACAACACGTGTTAATTATACGCACGGTCGTGCAAAGTGACAAATGCTTTGTAAGTTTTTTGAAATGAATTCGTTCAATTTAATTCTTTTCAAAATAAACTGCAACAGATTTCAGCTATACTGATGTACTACCATTCGGTCGTCGTCCTAACACTTCTTCATTATCTACTGACTGTGATCACTCGGAGAAGTCACAAGCATCTAATTAGTATTACTTCCTCTTCAGTAATTTCATGGTTGATTTCCTGAATATCTGGAATTTCCCAGCTTAACAGATTACAAGATTTTATGATTACTATCACAGAATCGTCGGATGAAATAGGTACATTACCAGGAAACTGTAAGTTCACATTAACAGCAGATTTCTGAAAAGTGTTGTTCAGTTCAGTTGGCACTGCGCTTTGAATCGGAATGCGATGATTCTTCTTGCATGATGTAATTAATTTTGAAAATTATTATTACAGCAGAAATTTAGCAGAAATGCGGCATTAAGACATTTGAAGTGTTCTTTTTTGTCCTCTTGATCTTAGAATTCAGGTTTCTTACCTAAATGTAAATGTGTTAAACTATTGGAAATGAAGCTGATCATTTAAAAGAAAAAAGGTAGCTAAAAACGTGTTATGGTTTTTCGAAAAATCATAAGTGGCTTGTACCATGTTGTCGTACTTTTGCAACTGTTTTTGATGTAGATAAGTTAGTGATTGAATGGATTAGTCGTTTAATAGGGGATTATACATGTTGCATGGTATAATGAAAATTTTAATTCATGAATTAAAATGTAAAGTGATGATCAGATCTTTTCAAACGCGTAACAACAGCAGATGTTCCCAAAAATTTTCATATTTAGTATTTGTAACTTTGCACACAAATCACAACAATTTCGAAAAGTTTAGTAATCTTAAAAAAGAAAAAACAAGGCAACTTGCGACACCTGTAATTTTCTGTACCAATAATCGTAGAAAAATAGCAATGATCGGTTTAATGAAATAGCTGATTATTTAAATTAGTAAATCATAATTTAATAGTTTAAATTAGAATAAGAACCATATTTTTATTGATCTAACAATATCGTTAATATTTTACATAATACCGCAGCACATATTTTTGGGTGTTGCCAGGCTAGTATAATATTTCGTATTTTGTTGTATTGCCGATTGCAATTGCTGGAAACGAGATAATTGTGGTAGCTCAGAATCGGATAAATCTAAATCCTGAAAATTAATCCTCCTATTTTTTCCTTTTTCTTTTTAAATCCAAAAATTTAGATGAACACAAAAAAGTGATATGTTATTCCACTTATCAATTAATTATTATAACTTTCATGCAAAAATAATTCCGGAGTATTATTCTGTTTATTGTGGTAGCTCAGAATCGGATTATAAATAATCCGATAAAAGGAGAGACAGAAAGAAAAATAGAGTGAAATACTTACATCACCATCAGTGAATGCATTTAATCTTATATGTCCTCCTTCAAAGTAATCTTCTTCAACATGACGATCAATCTACAAGTGAATACCAATCATTCTGATGATTTATTAACTTTTTTTCACCGATAACAAAATTGTTGCAAATCTATGGAAAATATCGGTGATTTTTTGTCTTACTGAAATGAAAAGCTTAAAATGAATTAGATGATGATTACCTTTTTAGACTTTAGGATTGATGATGTAGTTGTATTATATTGTGGATTGAATGTTGCTATTTGAAGACAAGAGAAATCTGCTTGCGGATAACCATATTTCTAAAATAAGATGTTTCTTATGGTTATTTATTATTGCTATTTGATAAGTAATTGATTTAACAATTTGGTTTTTTTAATAACTAAGCTAAATTTATTACTAAGATTAATTCTCTGAAAAATTACGTTTAATTTGATTAATTTTTACCGAAATTGTTGGTCTAAATGAAAGCTCTTCAAATTCAGCTTTTAAACTTCTAGTTGTTGATGCAGGAGAGTCGAGAAATTGATTCTCAAATCCATCACGAAAACGCTCAACAAGACCATCCTCAGACAATGAATCCTCGGTATTGCTACCACCTCCTTTAAATTACTACGAAATATTTCAAAAAAAAATGAACAATTAATGTTGAAATGATGATACAAAAGAGAGTAGTCATTTCATCGTTTTCCTTTTCAGTTATATCTAGAAAACTTTGATGGCGAGAATATTGGTAGGAATCATATCCTAAATTGACAACTTTGAGAATTCTGAACAAAATTGACGAAATGACCAGTTTATCCACAAATAACAATTCTTTTTCGAATTCAAAAAAATTTTTCACACAATAAATTAAATTTGAATGGTACCATTCTCATTTAAAATAGGAAGTCTAAATTGAAAATGAGAAATTAAGCGTTCAGCTTTTATCAACAAAGTGATAATTAAATAAATGCTTTCAACCTTGTAAAAGGCGATCTAACTGTCGAACTTTTTTGGAATAAATGCCATCAGCATGTAAAGCAGAATCCATTGCTGCAAGAACTGGACGCGATGCTACCTCATATTCTAGAATAAATAAGTGCATAATTACAGTATCCTTGATTATTATTATTTATCTTATTATTATTATTATTACTATTATTATGATTATTATTATTATTATTATTATTATTAACTATTATTATTATTATTTTGATAAACTAATCAATTATTCAGGCATTACATGGTCAAATTTTAAATTTCTCGAGGTATCTGTACAAATTATCCAAGAAGTTGAAAACATTAAGTTTAGTACTTCAAATCGATCGTTGAGTCTTAAATATTTCCTTTTCAAAACGAAATTTCAAATTAAAGAAAAAATTTAGAAAAAAGGAAATCAACCTGATCGTTGCATTGGATCAGTTGTTAGTTGATTTCCATTCTCTTCATTAATCATATTGTTTGTTTCAGTCATAATAGTATCAAACTATAAATGAACAAATGAATTTTTCGAAAATGAACTTTGGAAATTATGCATTATAAAAAACTTTTTTTTAGTATATGTGCTTTATAGTATATTATATTTTTAGTATATTGCTTTAATATATTTTTTAGTTTTTAGTATATAGTATATATTTTTAGTATATAGTATATTTTAGTATAGTATATATAGTATATATCTTTATAAGGTAATGTAAATTGATGAATTTCTACTACATTTTGCTACTAATTGTTTGAAAAAGTGGAAAACAAAGGATGAAAAAATTTGGATGGAAAAGGAAATTAAATATATTTTGGTGAAATATTTGCAGGTTTATTGATTTCTTTTGCTATTATCGTATAATACATTCATTATTGGAAATTTACAAAAGTATAATTAAAAGTCTTACTGTAAATTTTATCAACTGATTGTTTATTGTTTAATGGAATAATGCAGAAACTTACAAGATAGTTATCCCATAGCAAAAGTTGTGAACTTGATAAATCCGGACATGAATGTGCCTCACTATTCGATGCATCTCCGGTGGAAGGTTGTTCTGATAATGAATTCTACAACGTTCCGTTTTAATTCGTAGAAATATATGTATATTTTAACTTTAAATATTAAACCATTTTCAATATTTGTTTACTTTATTCCATTTCATATAGTAACTGATCATTATTTTCAGGAAATTTAACACTACTGATCTTTCATGTTAATAAAGAATGAGACACATTTTGATGTTGAAATAGTCTTCAGATACTTTTTCATGCTGAAACAATGCTCTATATTATATAAATAACCACAGACAATCTAAACGGTCGATATTCTCGTCAGTGGTCGGTTAACTAGAATAATTTGGAGGTTAGCCTTTTCAAAAAGTCTACAAAAAGGCCTAGGTAAGTCTAACTTGTTGCTTCTTTATTACCGGTAATGATTAATCAAGTATTTTTGGTTAGGTTTGATATTAAGCAAAATTTGTTTTGAGTTTTAAAATAGATATATTGATGAAGCTTAAAGAGAAATAAAATAACCTTGTTCAAATTTGGTTCAGAAGATGTTGCTTGATGTTGTGCTTGGATTGAATTGCCTTCAGATACCTCAAGGCCGCTGCAGAAGCTACCACCATTTACTTTCTGTAGTTTTGCATAAATTCATTAGTTTGAAGTTTAACTAAAATAATTTTACAAGGTTTTTCCTTCTCTTGAAAAATTCTAATTTACTTCAGAGAAATGTAATTGATTATGCCACTAACTTTGCATATCAGTCTTACCACTTTACTTTCAAAACATTTTATCGATAAAAGATTAAACTATTTTGTCAAGGCAAAAATTGAAATTGGCGTAAATAGATTATATAAAACAATAATTAAATCAATCTAAATGAATCTAAAACCGAATATATATCTGCGAGATATGTGGAAGTTACCTCGATAACACTAGACAAATTAACTTTTGGACGTCGATGCCTTTTTCTACGTTTCTTCTTCAGTATAACTGCCGGAATTGGAGGGCCGATTCCAGCTGAAAATTTCGAAAAATTTCATAGTAGATTTAAAATACTAATGGCTTTTGCATAAAATATTATTGCTATTGCTGTTAGAAAGAATTAGAATTTCATTATTATTCGAAAATACATATATACGATTGGATGAAATTTTGTTGAAATGTACAGTTTTCCAACTTCATTACCAAATAAAATGAAACATTCAATATGACTCATTGTTACGATATTAAAGTAAATCATTTAAGAAATTAATCAAATAAAATTTATTGATGATAAAATTAAAAAATGATTCATGTTTAAGTAGAAGATTCGAGATCCCTTAAAAACTGTCAGAATTGATCGATTGATTGAATGAAATTATCATTCAAATATATGCATTAGCGTGTTGTGATACAGTAGGTACATGATACTTTTGATTTCAATACAAGGACAAATATTTATATCATCTTTGCTGAATAAATTAAACATTGTATTCTGACATTTGTATTCTATATATATATATTCGAAATCTTAGATTTCATATATATGTTTAGGCTAATTTGAAACGAATATAATTTTGAATCCTTATATAATAGCAAAAAAATATTTTGCACCTATTTTTTACAGTTTCGACAATTGATTTTAGGCCTGATTTCTGAATGAAATTTAATAGAATCCAAGAAAGGAAGCATTGTTGAAATTAATTTCGAAATTAACTTATATTTGTAAGATCATAATAAATTTTATATAATTAACTTTTATAAAATAGAAAACTAAACGAACAAAAAAAAAATGAGATAATTGTTCAAATATTAAAAACAATTATTGTTCAAATATTAAAAACAATTATTAAATGAGGCATTTGCACCAAAATTTTTCCATTTATTTTTAAGCAATTTGTTTTCTTTTCTTTTGTTGTTGTTGTTGTTGTTGTTGCTATTCTTTCCTTCTTTAATTGTCGTAAATTTTATTTCATTTTATCGATCTGATAGATACATTGGTAAAGTGTAATATTCATTTTTCTTGCTATAAAAATATTACACAAATTGCTTATTTAAACTATACTATATTGAAAACTGTTTCTTTTTAATTATATCATTTTGATATTATTAAGTTTTCCTCTGCCTCTACAATTTTTTAAAATCATATATTTTAGGTGGAAGAGGGGAAGAGTTGCAAAAAAAAAAACAAAAAATTGTTAATTAAAGCTTAAAGCAATCAAATTATTAATTAAAGCAAAATTTCCAAATAATTCTTACAGTTCAAAAAAGAAAATTGTACAAATAAATTTTCACCTTTTGTTTAGGATAATTCATTTTTTGTTTGTATTCAATTATTACACTATTGTTATTATCACACATAAATTTTTGCCAACAAATTTTGTACCCGAAAATTTCAATTTAATTAACTAACTAATATAATTAAATCAGAAAAATAAAATAGCATAAATAATCGGAATTATTTTATTGAGATGATCTGAAATTATCAAAAAAGGTAATAATAATTAACGAAAAAAATTAGCCAGGAAAAAGAAAACAGAAATAGTTACAGGGATTTAGCAAAATATAAAATATATTAATGCGAGATGTGACGAAGTTACTTCAATAAAGGCTTACCTAATTTCTGGGCTCATTTTTGTCTAGCCTAAGGATCATTTTATTATCATTTCAAATGGATTATTAAATTCACCCTGAATGTATCATCAGTTGATGAAGAAATGCATATTAATTAATTATCTAATATTATTCTTTTTTTACGTTATAGAATTTGATTCAAATTGTAAGGAAGCATGATAGTGATAATATGGTCCATAAATAGATACAGGAAATGACAATGTTGATGACAGATTACACTCATCTTCCTATCTCTTTTATCAGTACGATTAATTTGGATGACAAATACTACAACTGAATTTTATCAAATATATGAACGAAACAAATTTTTCCTTCTCCTTGAGAAGCACAAAATTATGACCAACTTCTTTATTTTTGCTATCATTTTATGCATTTCAAATTTCATTCCTTCTGCAGGAAAGAGAGAGAAAGAGAGAAAGAGAGAGAGAGAGAGGAAAGGAGAGAGAAAAAGAAGAGGATGAATAAAAAGAAAGAAAAATACGACGAACTGTGATCGAACGGATAATTAAATTTGATAGATAATAGTAAAGTAACGGAAGTTGTTGTGAAATTATTTTGAAATTTGGATGAGAATAATGTATAAATGAATGATAATTATCATCTTTGATATTATAACATTTTGTTGTAATTCATAAATTTTAGATTAAATTTTTAATTAATTTAAGAAATGAAAATATGCTACGTAATATTATTGTTTTCCTTAATGATTCATTTCTTTTTTGATCAATTTTTCTTTATTAAATAATAATTGTATGGCTTAAATTCGCTTGATAACAAAAAGTATAAAGTTAATTGAGGATTAAATTGTAATTTATGAAATCACTTGCAATTTATATGAGCAATATTGGCGGAATATCCAGGTGGTACCATCGCAAGCGCATCACGTAAAGCAAAAGCTGTCTGATTGATTGGTGGTATCGGAAAACGTATAATCGTTGCAGTGGATGGTGGAGGAGGTGGTGGTGGTGGTGGTGGTGGTGGTGCAACAGTTGCAGTTGGCATAAAATATGGTGTTGGCTGCCCTATTGCAAATGGTACCAAATCTGTTAAAAATTTGAATAATGACACTTTTCCATCCAGAATATCATACCATACAAATTTACGATCAAATTTTTAATTTTAAAATTTGTTAATTGTGATATTTTAGGACCAATAGGATTGCTAATATTTTTGGATAGAATGAATTTATAGCTATTTTAGGTCAAACTTATTCCTTATCAATTTATTTCAATTCCAATCATATTTCATGATCAATAATTCATTACTTACTTTGTGTAGACATCATTGGTTGCGGTAGATCAAGAACAGTACGAACGGGTGAAAATGGTACTCCAGTTACAACATGAGCCTGAGCTTGTTGTCTTAAAATATTATTAGGTAAAACAACTCCATTGATTGAATTATTAACTGGCAAATTATTCGCAAATATTATTCCATCAGAGCGAAACGATTCATCCAAAAATTGCCTCGATCGAGGAACAAATTCTGGTGCTTTTAACCATTCTGAAAGAATAAAATACCAAACTATCGATCTGAAATTTCGAATAAATTTAAATCTTAAAATATGTGGCAGTACTATCATTAATCTTTGTTTACATTTTAAAATTGTTTTTTTTTTTTGTCGAAAAAATTTTTAAAAATAAAAATGATTTTAAAAACAAAAACAGTCTAACAAAAATGAAGAAAACAATTAGTCATTTTAAGAGCTTTCCGTTTTTTTTTTTCCTTTGTCTTTCGTTAAATTAATATTGAAAAATTAATAATTTTAATTTATTTTCTAATCTGCTAAAGAAAATAAGTAAAACAAATGATTATTTAAGTTTGTAAATGAATTGAAATATTTGATTTTGGAAAAGAAATTAAATTAATTAACAAACTTATCTGATTTTAAACATTTTAATCATAAATTCAATTTATAAATAAATTATGAAGTTGAATTGAAAAGACATGCTGCAAAAATAATATTTTTTAAATTGAAATTTCAGAAAAAAATCTCACGCATAAGATTATCAGTATTTTAATTTTCAACATGAAAAATTCTAACGTGAACTTCTTCGTTTCAAATTAGTAATAAATTTTCGATTTCGGTTTGAGGTTATTTTTACAAATAATGAATGAAAGCTATGAGATGAATTTTTCGGTATACGTATAATTCACTCGATTAGCTGGCATTATATATATCGTAAAAAATTTTGTGTTAAATGAATTTTTCTCGTTGTTTACAGAAATACAAGTCATAAGGTCATAAGTTTTAGGTCATAAGTTTTTAGCAATGTTAAAAAATGCGACTGAAATTGAAGCAGAATTCGATTGAAAGGACAAAACCACAAGAATATCGCATATCAACAAGAACCGATTGCCATACTTAATGGATATTAATTAAATAAACTTTCAAGTTTCACTCCTCCCAAATGCTTATTCCGCCTGTTGTTATTGTGGGTCACTCATATTCATTTCATTATAACAACAAACTTTAGCCGCCCTTTTATAGAGTTATAAAATGTTCAATGGAAGTTTCGCAATTTTTTAAATTATCATCAAAAAAAAAAGATCAAATCCAACTTAAATGATTAAATCAGAAGTCATAAATTCACCTTCAGGATCTAGTTTAGTTTTAGTTTGTTTCGATAAAGACAAATTTCCATTTTCATGCGACATTCTAAAATTGTCATCATTTGATTGTTGCATTGGTGTTTCACCATGCCAATAGGATGGTGGCGGTCGATCTTCCGCATCAAAATATATCCTCTTGGATTTCAAATTTTCCATAATTTATAACAAATACATTCCGGTTAATCTTAAAACGATTTCGATTGCTATTTGTTGCTTATTTTCCGCTAATTATTTTGTAGTATTCAGTCCTCATTTTCACAATCCTGTAAATATAATTAATATTATATCGGATTGAATAGGCTTATTATCGGACGAATTTTTAAATTTAAATAGAAAAAAAGGAGAGAGAGAGAAGAAAAATGGATAAAATAATTCGAATGAAAATGAGTAATCAAATTTAAATCAAATACATTTATTATTACTTATAATTTAAATTATTAACATCACAAGTAATATTGTTTTAAAAGATAGATCCAGAATGGTAGTTAGCAGCAATAAATTTTAATAAAGAATCAAAATTTGATTTTAATTAATTCTTCTTTTGTTTAATCGAATTTATTTCAAATAATAAATGTTATTGAAAAAGAATGACTGATCCTTTCAAACTTATCCATTTTAACAAATACCTGAATAATAAGCGAATTAATTATTTTACATAAGTGAATTACTTCTATCCATCTGAAATATTTATTTGAAGAAATTTGTATAAGAAAGAAAAATATCATCAATTTTAATTTGAAACATTTCATATAATCCATTTTAACAAATAACTAAAATTTACATTTCCAAAATTTAGATTTTAGGTAAAATTTATTTACAAATTATTAAGAGAGAGAGAGAGAGAGAGAGAGAGAGAGAGAGAGAGAGAGAGAGAGAGACCTATGAAGTGGTGGTATGAAAAGTGGAAAATTTTGAGAGATTGAGAAATTTGGGAGATTTAAATTTGCATTCTGAAAAAAGACTAATAATACCCTTAAATTTAATACAAAATTGAAGTATAAAGATTAAGAAAGGCTTAGAATGGATAATAAATATGAGAGAGAAAGAGGGTGAGAGAGAAAGGGAGAGAACATTTAATTTCTTTTTACCTTTTTGTTTTTTTTTAAGAAAGAAAAAAAGAAAAGGGAAAAAAAAATGAGGAAGTGAGAGATTTTAAACGAAAAAGAAAGTAAAAAAAGAGTTAGAGAACAAGTTAGAAATTTTGCAAAAAAGATAAAATGAATCGTTTTCGGGAAATGTAAATCCTGTCAATATGGTCGGTAATGACTTTAGAGATTAGTGATTTGTTAGATTTAGTGTAAGATGAACATAGCAAAATGTAGTGAAGTATAGCTGTAAATAATAGAAGTTTGAGAAACACTCCTAAACACACACATACAGACACATACACACACACACACACACATACACATACACATACATATACACATACATATACACATACACACATACAAACATAACGAATAGAAAGTAGACGTAGGAAATTTCACTTTAAACATCATTCGTAGCATCACTATTATTATTATTACCACAATCATCATTATCATTTATTATCATTATCGTTGTAATTACGAATGAAAAGTTGGCTAAACGGTCTTTGGCTGTTTGTTGATGGTTAGTTAATTACACAATGTGAAACTCATCTTTCCATCTTCTTATCATTCAATCAATTGCTTTCCTTCTCTTTCTACCAAACAATTCGTTATGCTGCCAGCTTTTTTTTCTTTTCTTTTTTTCAAAACAAATTAAAAAACAAAAAGTTTAGGAAGCTATAAGCTAAATCTTTTTCTTTTATTGTTATTATTATTATTTATATACAAAATTTTTAGCATTATATTAATTAAAATATACTATAATGTATTAATTATATTATATTATAAAACAAAAAATATATATAAGAATAGTAGATTCAATTGAAAAATATTGCAAAAAAAATTGATTCAATAATTATTTATTAATATGTCAATGTTATTTTATGTTATAATTTCATTTTGTTTGATATTATAGTGATTAATTGAACATCGATGTTGTTAGTGATTAGTTGAAAATTATGCTGATAATGATTAATGAAAATGAACGAAAAGTTAAAATTGATAAGAAAATTAATTTATTCATCACAAATTAATTATTCATTTAAACGATTCATAAATATGTAAGTTTTATTTATAATATAGTAATTCAATTTTTATCATTAAAATTTGATATCGTTTCATAATAGATATTCAAATTTTGAAAATCTTTCTAATTTTTGCTAGAAATATTGAATTTTCTTTATTCTTTTGATTAAGAAATATTTTCTTCACATCTTTTCTCTTCCTCTTTCTCCTTTTCTTTCTCTCTCTCTCTCTTCTATCTCTTCTAAGTCAAAAAATAAATAAAATAAATGTTTACAAAGTCAAAATTTTCGAATACATAGCTCTACAATAAAATACTATAAAAAATAAAAGAAGAAATGTTGCTAAATTATAAAATGAATGATAAGTTGGAATGAGATTTAAAAACTCATTCAAATAAATCATTGCATTTGTAACGATAACATGCAAATCAGTTAAACAATAACATGCAAATCAGTTAAATGCGGTATTTTCTGCATGCCAAATGAAAAAGCATGCTAGAATTTCGAATTACACAATTTTAAAAATCATTTCAGAAAAAAAATTTGTTTTCTTTTGCCATTTCTTATAGTATAAATATTTGTATCAGAAACTTTTCATGTGTGTGTATTTTCATCCGTTAATTGCAATAGATATAATTGGATATAATTAAGGATATAATTAAAGGATATAATGGATATAATTAATTCATAAAGGATATAATTAATTCATAAAAATATTTGTAAAATTAATTAATGAACTATTTCAAGTAAATATAATTGTGATAAAATTTTCTTCTCTTAATTTTTTAAGACCAGACATCTTTATATTACGAAATAAAGCATTAACCAATATAAAGTATTATTGTTACTTACACTATTAATTATTAATTTTCCGCAGCTGCCTTTCTTTTCTCTCTATATTTTTAAATTGATTGTTAATTAATGATTGATATGACTGATTATCTTTTGCAAAATTTCGCAGAACAGAACATGTGATAATGGAAATTATTGATAAAAGGTGGATAGAAATGGTAAATTGGAAAGATAGAAACTGAAGATCAATGTTGGTGATAATGAATGACAAATTGGGAAATTCCAAATTAAGCAGAAAAAACGAAGGATTTTGAGATCAATTAATTTGGATGGATGAAAATGAGAATACTTTGCAGATGCAAAAATTAGGAAACTTGTTAATTTTCAAAATCTTCGAGCTTCGTTTCTATCTGTATCTATCATATCATATCATACCATATCTGTCATATCATATCGTTTCTATCATTCATTTACTTAAATCATTCTCTACAATTTGATCCAGCTAATATCAAACAAATGATAACAGTAAATTTATCAGAAATAAGTAAATGCTTGAAGAGTCACTTACAGTAGGAAAAAAATTTTTTAATTTTATTATTTGTTTTTAGAATTGGTTAAAAAAATTTTGAAAAATTTTATTGTCTGAAAAAACTTGAAAATTAACAACTATTTTCTTTGCGAAAAAGACGACAAGAAAATTTGAGTATCAAAAAGTAATTATTTCAAGGAACATCAGAATTTAATCGTAAAAATGAATTCATTGCATGAGGAAACCACATGTAATATATTATTGGAGAAGCAAAAATCATCCCCTTAATTTTACAACCTAATCTTAAAGTCTTAGTGAAAATCCATTTTTCAGGATATCACCGATAACTTTTCCATCAAATTATTCTTCGGATGAAAAATGTTAAATAGTCCAACAAACGGACACCAATTTTTAACTCATTTATGAATTACTCACTTCCATTATTGCTCGAAAAAATCCATTTGTATTCATAAATTGCAGCAACAATTGGTTGAAAATGTGAAAAATTCTTCCTTTACCCCTACCTATTTAGAAAATGTTTTAAGACGAAACTTCCAAAATGATTAATTTGACTTAAATGCGAAATAATTTCCAGTAAATGAAACTCATTTCTCCATCATGACGTCGTTGCCATTGCTTGCAGAAAATTCACGTCTTATTAATAATCGAAATAATTTCAGAAGAAATTCGTAAATGTTAAGATCTGAGCAACTATCAGATGCAAAGATTGAAAAATTGTTTGGAAGGAAGCAGATATCATGGAGCAAAGATGTATCTTCGCTTCCCACTAAATTGACAAATCGGTTAGTTGTCCAGTTCTGATCGAAGATAAAGTAATCACGGAAGGAGAAATTCAAAACATACATTATTAGATGAATGGTAAATTTACCTAATGATTTCGAAGGAAATGGAAAATGCAAAATTAAGTAGATCACCACAAATATAATTTTTCCGAAACTACTGGTAACTCAACCAGTAAATCAATTCGACATTTGGTATCATTCAAAATATTGATGACAAGGAAGCATCAAAAGTTAGTTATCTAGTACCGTGACAAAAACTAACAAAATTTTTTAATGCTGAACACATTTGAAATTACTGAAACAAACAAGCGAACTGCGATTCAAGGAAGAAATATAACACAAAAATTGACAAACAAGAAATAAAAAGAAAAAAACCACAACTTCGCACAAATCAAGAAATGTCCTCCTCAGCCTGACCCAACGAAATAACAATAGCTGAGGAACGCTGCACATGATAATAGGCAAAGGACACAAAGTCTAACAAGTATGGACGTTCAATATTGGGCTGTGAATCGAATTCTTGAAGACATGGATATAAGTGCAAAAAGCTCACACAAAAGTTTCAAGACTCGGTTGCAGCACTGAGTCGCAGTAAAAAATAAAAGTACTGCCAAAGTCAATGCAGATTTTCTTTTTCATTTTTGAAATGAAACCTATTCTAATTTCCCTTTAGTACTCTTGAAATGATAAATATCAAACTTTCATACGTTCTGCGAAATAAATCAAATTTAAAATGCAGAGAAAATGCACCATCATCATGTGGATGTTATCATAAGGATTGGGAAGAAGTATCCACCCATCAAAAATTGCTATTAGATAGAAAAGATCTACATTAAAAATGTTTTTAAAATGAAGACAGAAACGAATGACGCCAACTCCCTTTTCAATTGAAGAATAAGTTAGCGTTTGGAAGGATTTTAAATAATTTTAAAAGGACATTAAGAATGAAAAAAAACTGTAACATAAAAGGCAACAAAAATTCAAAGAACGGAAGAATTTGTTTTGAGGATGAAAAAATGCAGAACAGATCAGTTTGTTCTCAGAGTTCAATAGGTTTGAAAATGAAGAGGATGAAGAACTGCACAATACAATTGGTGTTGTTCAGTAGAAGGAAGTGAGAGAAACGTGGAGGCAGGAGGCAGAGGAATAGTGGCAAGGCCCAAGATGGAGGGTAAGGAAAGAAAACGGAAAGAAGAAATGAAAGAAATACAGAAATAAGATAAAGCGCTCGATCGGTTGTTCAACCCTGACCAAATCCAAAAAAATAAAACAAATACTTGAAGTGTGATGAATATACTCACTCAAAACTAATATAATCAATACTCTCATGAGATCGCTTCCTTGGTGGCTCCCGAGTATCATCACCAGAAGTACCGCTATTACTGTGATGATGTCCAAATGATCCCACATTACCAACATAAGGCACCTGCTGCTTGTGTCGATTTGCTGTCGAAAGTCCAGAAGAATTATGCTTCAGGCCATAAATAGCACCACTCCTAGACTGCTCTCCAGCATGTCGTGTAACTTGCGATACCTAAAATAGCACATTATGAGTTAAGAGAGAAAAACCTTATTTAAAAAGCTTGAACATGATGTCCAGTGAAACTACAGCTAACCTAATTACAAAAAGAATCAAAAAAGTTAGTTTTATGAGTGACGAGAAAGTGAGCTTTTTTAGGAATTCATGAAAGTTACGTTCGATGTATATTCAAACCGTTATAGAAAGATGGCATAATGAACCACCAGGATGAACTGGGTATGTTAATAATTTACATGTTATCTTGAAAAACAGTTTGGCATCTACAATTCAGACAAAGAGCACTTGGTAGAATAACTTAACTCCTTATATGATATAGAAGCTATATTTTCAGATTTCGCTAGTGATGACCGGTACTCAGTTTTTGTCGAGAAATTGGGCATTTCTTTGTGAGCAGTCTTATCATCTGGTAAATTCTGCACATCCGGACAAGCTAAGGTCAACGGTAAGGCAGAAGAGTCAGCAACTGCTGTTACCTGTAAAACTGCTGATTGTTACGGCAAAAAAAAATACCAATAAATTCATCAAATTTATCGAAACAATAAAACTTAACTTTTATTCCAAAAAAGTACACATTTATAAATTATGCAACTTGCCTGAACAGGTAGAAGTTGTTGTGTACCATTAGGGTTTTGCACGTTAATGTAATGTTGGCCAGTAGCAGGATCCATCAGAAGCTGCAAATGCTGCACGTTCCCTGTGCTCATCACTCGTATTGCACTGTCCGGGTCTTCTTCACCTATAAAAATAATGAAATCATATTTGCTATAGTCCAATTTTCTGAAAATTCTACCTTGTCTATTCAAAAAAAAAATTTGGTAGAATTTCCGCTCATCTTGAAACTGAACTCTTAGGAGTCTAAATCAAATGCACCAAAAAAAACAAATATGTTTTCATGCCGGCAAAAATAATTTGAGGAGCGCATGCATTTGAAGATGGTATCGGTTCACTCTGGATAGTAAAAACACCAGAAGAAGTGGCGGATTCACTCGACTCACCGGCATTCATTTTCTGCTGAAATTAGAGGTAACAGTAAAAAAAAGATTGAAGATAATCCAATTATCGGATAGTGCACAAAAAAAGAAAAAGAATTTTAACGAAAACCGACCACAAAGGAAGGTTGAGATCCAGAAGGTTCAACAAGAAGTGTTTCAGTGTTACGATCGCTGCGAAAAGCTTCCCGAAATCTGGAATGATTATAAGCATATCTGTAGAACAACGATTTTACTTCTTATGTTGAATTAGGGTTCAGTACTACGCAAAGACTAATGAAAATAAAGTAAAATTCACTTACTTCCTCACGTATGCGTTCAACGGTTCAATATAGTTATCAAAACCAAGAGTAGCAAATGCTCCAATAATGTCTTCACCTGTTATCGTTTTCCTTTTCTCCTGCAAATCTCATCTTCAAAAACACCTGAGATAGAGAAAGAAATACTATTCCATAGCTAACATAACTTCAACGTGAAATAAAATGGTGATCCAATCTAACTCATACTAAATTTTTAGATAATAGCATTACTATCTCCAAATTTCAAGTCATTCCACGATGTAGTAATGTAGTTCAAAAAAAGCTCCGTGATATAGCTCTGAACACTTATACTATTATCAGCTCGATTGCTCAAAATTTTTAACGGAAAATACACTTACATTAAGACAGCGATCGCAAGCTTCTGATGTAATAAAAGAAATAAATTCAGAAACACATTCTTGAACGCATTCTTTCGCATCCTTGGCAACTTTTCCGGAACGAGGGATCACATTTTTCATTAGCCGGGATATATTTGCTATAAAAAATGGCATGGCATAAAAACGAAATATACTCAAAATTCAATGTGCAAATATCCATCTGAAGATGCTCGTGTCATAAAAGAATAAGCATACCAATGGGGAGGAACCTATCTTGCTCCAGAATTGGTTTCCGAGTTATAATCTCTTCTGGTGCATTATTCGCATCTGATACAATCCTTTCCGCATTGTTATCCTGAAATTGACCTGTAAATACTGTATGAAAAAAGAAAAAAGGCTTTTAAATGGCAATAAAGAATCCAAACATCAATACCCGTTTACATTATATTTTTATATACATATATTATTCGTTCTACTCCTGCTACCAGTCTCATTAGTCTCTCCCAAAACCACTTGACACCGTTATTCAAAAACAAATTTCACGGTCACGAATCTCAACAGTTAAAACTTTCCTAATTTAGAGATAAAAATTACTGCCAGAAATATCAGTACCATTTGAACTATTCAGTGTAATTCACCACCCTAACTGAAACGCAACTATACAATAGACAACACATTCCGAAAAATGCTTGTAATAACTAGCTGATCATACCATCAAATCCATCCATAGCACACATTATATGGGATTTTTTGCGTTATATACAAAAAGAGAAAGTTTAAAAACCTACAGCAATTGTACCTTCGGCCTGGCATGTACCACCCTCTTGGGAGTACTTATTCAGGTAATTATTGGCATTATCTTCATTGATCATAATAGTCAGGCTATAATAAAATCATTAATCAGCTTCAAAACGTTTCATATGCACAAATACGTATGAATATATCAGTAATTTACGTATAAATTTGGAAAAACTTCTGACTTCACAAAATATCTGCGTCATGAGAGAAATCGACATTTTCCTGAAGAATTATTTTTGAAAAATCGATTTTCAATTCAAAGAATACTCGGTAATTCTTTCAATCAAATGGAATAATGGGTATAGCGATAAGAGATAAGAAAGAAGTTGGAAGTAGATTTAAAACTCTTATTTTAACAATATTCTACTAAATCGATTTTTCTTCATCAAACTGATAAACAAAGAAAAGTGGCATTGATTGATTGTGCGAGGAATGAGGTGATGAGTGTGATGAAACAACAGTAACAATTATGCCCAACAATAAAATGACCTCACCAACAAAAGCCACTGAAATGGATGTCCTCCCGCGAAGTCTCGTTATGCGACAGCGGCAGATTCTTACACTATTGTGACCACACTTGTTTGAAAATTGTGGTTTTCCTACGCATTAGATAACTTAAGTGTTTTATCTAAGGTTTCATGTTTCTTCTTTTTTGTTTTTGTTCGATTGAATATAGGAGATGGCTAAGTTACAACCCAAGTACTAAATGTGATCTTTATTGAATTTTGGATTCTCGCGAACGTTTCCATGTGTGAGATGCACACGATGTTTAATTATAGTCAAACGAGAACATAATGTTTGTTGAATATGTAATGTCCCGCTATACTTTTTCTCGAATACTTTATATCTCAACGTAACAGACGTGATTTTGTTTTGGATAATCTTACTAGTGGCAACAGTGGAAGTTGGTTTCTTCATCTAATAATGGGATTTAAGAAGTACTAGAAAGCGTTAAGCATCACATTTCGGTCTGCGATCTTCGATATAACCCGTTTCTTTTTTTTTAATGGAACAGGAAGGAGAAATTTTTAGGATTTCATTTTCGTAGGTCTTTCTACGTCGATAGTCTTTCTATCGGGATTTGTGAAAGGAAGCAACGGTCAAGGATGATTCCGAATCAGGCAAACTGCAATAAGCATTCCGAGACAATTATGAGTGGTGTAAATGGAGATGAAGTGGTCGACGAGCATAGTAAAGCTGGTAGGTTTCAAAAATTCCAAATTAAAATTTACCCGTCTTGTTTTGTATGACAGTTTTATACAAGAGAGGAAGAGTATGAATTACACACGTGAAAATTCACCATTATACATGGGTTTCCATGATTATGTTATCCGGAATATTGAAAATTCGGTGATTTCAACTCAACAGGAGTGCAGGGGAGGGATCTTTAAAATTTCTGGATGAGAATCCAAATTGTTGCCTTAATATGATTTAGAATGAATCTCGATCCTACTCTTTCTATATCGTTTGTTGTTGGTTGTTTATTTACCTAATTCCAACTTTCTACATTTCTTTATATCATTCTTGTTTAAAATACTTGGTGATTTTGTATGCATCCAATGGAATGTGTTACAGTCATTTTTTCCAGTTCCTTATCCATATTATTTCCATGGAACCGTTGTTGTTGGATTTGGTCGTGGTGGTCGAAAGCTGGGTTGTCCTACCGGTATGTATTGTTGATTTTATTGCTGCATTTTCCGACTAAAAATTAGGTGATTATAGGTAGAATTCGGTAAAGTTCGTTTTGTATTATAGAAGTATAAAGAAAATTAGTCATTAAATTTGCTATGAAAAGAGCAAAAAATATCAGTAGTGTTTTGTATCTTCGTGTAATCTGACAAAACTTAAGAGGGTAAGCTAAAGTGGAATGAACGTCTCGGAATTCTTCAAATTGAAGAGCACTTAGCCAATCGTTTATATCACTTATAATTCATGTGTTTCCTCTCTGAAGTTCTCTTACATACTTTTTTTTGTGCTGGTCGTTGTATACTTTCCAGTTTGTCATTCAGAAAGTTTTACGTTAACTCATGACGACAAGCTTTTCAGTATATATACGCACTACATGCGTGCACAGTATACACAAATAATCCTTTCATCTTCCATAATAGTATATCTCTGGACCTATTGTTGTAGTACAAAAAATTAAATAAATTATTTTCGATTTTATTTCGGCTATCCAGATATTAAGTATTTGTAACTTTGAATGATCAAAATAATACTAAATCATTGACATTAAAAAAATGCTATTGCTTTTTTTTTTAAATTTGCCACATCTTTTTCTGGGGTGAGCCAGAATTAAATGTTTGCAGCAAATATGGATGACAGTGCCATTTCACGTTTACCTCCTGATTTTCCATGTGGGGTTTTTTATGGTTTCGCAAATGTTAATCATGGGGAAGTATATGGGATGGTAACTAGCATCGGATGGAATCCACACTTCAAAAATGAACGGAAAACAATTGTATGTTGTATGCAACGCACATGTTTTCACTAATTTTTATTTTTCAGCGATTAAATCGTAAGTACGGTTTCGATTATGAATTGTTTCGAATATCACTGTTTGGAATGTTCAATTACCCAAAAAATAGTATTAATCATCATTTTATGCATTTCAGGAAGTTCATATACTTCATGAGTTCAACGAAGATTTCTATGGTGCCGAAGTCCGTGCTGTTCTGGTTGGATTTCTGCGTCCTATGGCTGCATTCAATTCTTTGGGTCTTCTTTTTACTTTTTTCCTCTTTCTTTTTTTCTTGCTAATTTTCTTTGCAATATACTACCACCGATTTTTTTCCCTGCAAAGATCAAGTCATCTGTCATTAAAATGAGCAATTAAAAATGTTGAATCTAAAAACTTTTAGATGAGCTAAAAAAAGCCATAAATAAGGATGTGTTGGTGGCAAAGGATTTGTTATCAGCTCCCGAAACGACATTCTATAAAAAGTCCGATTTCTTTTCTCAGTGATTTGCTGAAAATAAGTGAAAATCCATATGACCATTCCAGAACTCTTTCATGTGTAATGCTATCTTGTTATAGAAAGATTTTAATAATTAATAAGAGATAATTTATTCTTAAATATTTACGCTTCCTGGAATTATTATATTTGTGTAATTTATATTGAACAACTAATTTGGCATTTTTAAAATACGTGCAAGCAATATTTCTTCAACATATACTTTCATTTACTTTGTGCACTAATTGTTTTTTACTGATTTGAAAGTATGATTATGAGACGATGACCGGTTTGCATCGTTGGAGTGTAATCATTGATATGCCGCATTTGTCATGATTTTTGGTCGTAGTTCGTTGTATTGATGCATGTTTTTTTACCTTACTGTTTATTTTTTTTTATTCTCCAAACACATAAAGGAGAATAACATGTTGCCAATATTCTTCTTCACGTTGTTAAAAACCTCCTGTTCATTACTCTTGAAATCTGAAATTAATGCTTCCTCTCTCTCTCTCTCTCTCTCTCTCTCTACCTTTCTCTCTCATACATATCCTACAACTAACTTTCAAATTTCTTTTCTCAAATACGTCATGATAAGCTATCTACTGATAGCATAAATGCATGTAATAATAAACTCGTAATCTTCCGAGTTTTCATATTCATTTCTGAAAAATATTTCATCTTAACAAAAAAAAGAAAAGAAAATTCGATTGTAATGTGTTCGTATTATTATCAAAATCGATCAATTAGATTTTATGTTTGTGTTTTTCATTCTCTAAAAAATGATACTTGATGCAATGTATTGGCAAGACACTCTCGCAAATTGGTTAAACGTGTGATATTTTGATTAGGACACATGTGTTCCCGTAACTTTATAGCATTGCAAACAACGATTACGATTGGCAAGTTTGGGGCGGTAAATGTGAAAGAGGTCTCATCGTTCTTTCTCTTCGTTCATCATTGTTATTATCATTCACGTCTATAATGTCGTTGTTTGATACGTTATTTTTGGAATGATTTTCATCCATTATATTCGTTGAAATTTTTATCCAATGAAAGTATCCGGAAAGTGTGTATTAACAGCATAGAATTTATTAACAGCATAGAATTTGTCTATTTTCGGTAATTCTCTTTCATTTAAATTTAAAATTTAAAAAACGAATGCTGAGTTCGAATCCTAAATTGTATGAAAAATGCGTGATTGGATCAAAAGATACTTAATCTTCTATTTATTAGTTTTACCTATTTAGTAAAAAAAATTATAAGTGCTTACAAACATCATAAATTGTTCCATTAAACTTACTTGGTTAAGTTGAAATCTTCGATTACCATCTCATTAATAGTTATGTAATTAATTCTTCTATATTATTGGAGAGGAGCTCTTATCAATATGATTTGATGACTCATACACTACAGCATTCTCATGGTATCTGGCATCATTGCAAACCGAGCAATCATTCCAACGAACACGTAGTCAACGTCGTTATCAATGTGCCAGCTGAAGTTTATCTAACTAGCTCTTCAATTCACCATTTTAAAATTAAGATTCCGTTATTCCTGCCGTTTCTGTGATGAGATTTTCTAATCGGGAGATTTTCTGCTAATTGGTAAGTGGTTTAGATAAACGGAATTTCAGGTTAAAATATTCGAAACCAGCCCTCAAATTTATTAATTCTATTAAAAGCTGTTGAATTGGCCGCACTGACTGGCGACAAAGCTTCAAAAGGGATTTAACGATTGTGTAATTTAGGCCGTGATAATGTTTGGGTTTGCGTTGGTCTCGGTATTTGAAGGTGTGGAGTCTCTGGTGGATGAGGCTTCCAATATGTTTCGGGTGTTGTTTTCAGTGATTATTTCAATATGTTGAGATTGAAATATATCGATGTTTCAGAACAGTTATTTACTGCATCAAGATGGAATCAGTCGAGAACGTTCTCTATGTTGCAGATTCGTATAAGGTATATTTATCCTGCAGGGCATCATGGGCATTATCAGGTTCGGCCGGTCGTTTGATCTTCTGGTGATAGCATGAAAGTATGCTATGATACTAACTGTGCTGGTATCATAGTTATGTCATTCTATTTAATTTAATAGGGAAACGGCTTAGAACTTAAGTTGTTTCCTTATTTCGATATTACTGTACGTCACAGTATAATGAGATATTCAGGCCGGATTTGTGTAAGGTTATCGAGTCTAACTATTATTATGCTTTACGTGACTTTTTTTCACACTGTTACTTTTCTGCTTGAATTTTGAAACTGTTAGAAATAATAATGAACGATCTATTTTGAGTAAAAATAAAATGTATTAAGGTAACGCATCATAATCAGTATCCAGAAGGTACTACACATGTTTACAGTTATTTTGAAAGTCGTGGTGGCAAGTTTTCGGAAGTTTGTTTCTTTGGCCTACAGGTAATTTTTTTTCCTTCATTAGTTTCCGAGTTTTTTGCCCATTTCTCTGCACGTTCACTACCTGTTAATTTCGATATTTTAAAATTTTATTAACTGCGACCAATGAATATCCAATGACTTTAGTGAATTTTTGATACCCTTCATGTTTGCAGTATATTATAAAACGATGGCTTGTTGGTCCAGTAGTCACGAAGACAATGATTGAACAAGCGAAGCAGTTTTATAAATCTCACTTTGGTGGACTTGATATTTTCAATGAAGAAGGCTGGAATTATATTGTTGAAGTAAGTATATACTTTTTTCAGAAGATAGTGCACATGTTTACAGTTATTTTGAAAATCGTTGTGGCAGGTTTTCGGAAGTTTGTTTCTCAGGTCTGCAGGTAACCTTTTTCCCTCATTAGTTTCTGGGTTTTTTGCTCTATTTCTCTGTATGTTCACAATCTTTTAATTTCGATACTTTTCTAGCATAAATTTTGTGATTTAGTACTTGCAACCTTATACATTCTTTGTTTTTACACAGGTTCACAAAGGCCATCTACCGTTAAAGATCAAAGCAGTACCGGAGGGTACGGTGGTACCCGTAAAAAATGTACTTTTCACTGTTGAAAATACCGATCCTCGGGTGCCATGGCTAACCAATTGGTTTGAGGTAATGCTTTTCTTGTCAGGATATTGGAAGTTTTATAAATTCTGGTTGCAAAACTTTGAATGATTTGTAACAAAGTTACTGTACAAACTTGTTACCTGGATTTCTTCAAACATCATTCCAGACCTTACTGGTTCAAGTGTGGTATCCGATGACAGTTTGTACGAATTCAAGGGCCCAAAAACTCATCATTGCACAATATTTGCATGAAACGGCCGATTCCATAGATGGGATCCATTTTAAGCTTCATGATTTTGGATATCGTGGAGCATCTTCTGTTGAGGTGCTTGATGAGTTCTTTTTCTGTTGTTTGGTTAAAATAATATTTATATACGGTTCAGCTGCTAGGACATTGCTTGCATCTTAATTTTGATAAGTAAAGGAATGAAGCAAGTAGAATTATTTACTAAATAAGGAAGTGAAAAATCAAGTGGAATGATTTGACAACAACAATGCAAATCTCTCTCAAGGTTCTGATCTTGTCCTAGCAGAGTGAGTCATAGCAGATGTTTAGCGTTGCAGTGAACATCCAAACTTTGTGTAGTTTCTTTTGTTGTACTAATTATTTCTCTTCCAAATTTTAGAGTGCATCAATTGGTGGAGCTTCACATCTGGTAAATTTCTACGGTACCGATACCATAGCTGGCTTACAGTTATGTAGAAAGTAAGTTGTATGTTTACTTTTATCTTCTGCTTTCACATTTCCATGATTTTTCTGAAAAATTTCTAAATCTTCAACCAAAATTTGTTTAGAAATTTCTAATTTGCAGATATTATGCAACAGAAATGGCTGGCTTTTCCATTCCGGCTGCTGAACACAGGTCAGAATTTTTTTCGAAATTATGGCGACTTATTTTTCGTTTTTATAATCTGTTTGTCACATTTCTGCATCTTTGCTAAGCTCATCCAAGTCAGTTAAGTTGTTTAAAAAATATCGACTTTTAGTACAATTACTACGTGGAAGAAATCAGGCGAATCAGCGGCATATTTGAACATGCTGGAACAGTTCCCAGGTGGTTCCGTGTCCGTAGTTAGTGATTCCTATGATGTCTTTCACGCTGTGTCCAATATTTGGGGTGAGGAGTTACGCCAGAATGTGGTTGATCGAGCCAACAAGGGATGCGTTGTCATCAGACCTGACAGTGGTGATCCCAGCCAAGTGGTTGTGAAGATAAGTTTTAAAAATTTTCGTGTACGAAAAGTCACGTTGCTTTCGTAAATTATTTTCCTGTTGGATGTTTATGAGTAGAGTTTTACAGATTCTGTAATGGATGACAACTTTCTTAAGCTTCATTTTTTAGTGCTATTACATGGAACTATACTTACTGTTTCGCACAACTGTGATTTATTGAACACTTAATCACGTTTTGAAATTGGATCTTCAGACATCTAGTTGTCCATTTTATTGGCATTAACTTTTTAAATATTCAAATGTTGCTTTAGGTGTTGAATTTATTGGCAGAAAAGTTTCCTATTGTGACTAATTCGAAAGGTTATCGACTTTTACCGTCGTATTTGAGAGTAATGCAGGGTGATGGTGTATGTTACGAATCCATTGGAAAAGTGAGTAAATTTAAATTTATTTTTACATTTTTTTAGCATACACATGAAGTTAAGTTTTAGATTCCAACCAAATTTACCTTTGTCTCTGAAAAGTTATTTTGTTCACTTCAAGTATTAGTAAATGTAGACTGAGTCATCAATAGAATTTACATGTGCTCTTAGATTTTGCATTCCCTTCATTCAGATCCTTGATGCTGTGACTCATAATAAATGGAGTGCAGACAATATCGTTTTTGGTACAGGAGGAGCTTTATTGCAAAAGTTAGATCGTGACACTCAGAAATGCGCGTTCAAGTGCTCTCATGTTGTTATCAATGGTGAAAGTGTGAGTTACTTATTCAATTCGCTATTTTACCCTTCACATAAGCTTTTTATGATGCTCTTTATTTTCCTCAAATATCAAATGCCATATCTTTTTGTCAAAGAGATTTTTAAATACTTTTATAAAATCTAAAACATCCATAATTACAGGGATTATTAAGTTGATTTTTTTTTTCAGCGAGACGTTTGGAAGAGTCCTACAACAGATGTTGGAAAGCAGTCAAAACAAGGAAGATTAACTCTGGAAAGGAGAGAGGATGGCAGTCTTGTTACAATCGAAAAAGGGCAAGGGGATGCTTCTAAAGTATGGAAATTTTTTTTCATTGATATCATTTATCTTTTCTTTTCATCCGTGAATCCGTCTTCCGATAAATTTATGTTGAAGGCGTCTTACTAGAGACCAAAGTCCCTTCCTTATTTTATACAAGAGGATTTTCTTTTTTAAGTTTTTTAGACAATGAAGCTGAATTTTTAATTCCAAAAGATCGGATCAAGTTGATAGGATTTGGGCCGATATTCCGTTTACTCGAGAAAAAAGGTTGATCTCTACCAAGTGTAAGCTCCAGTCCCTTCCATTCTTCATGTTTTCTAATTTCTTTCTATATTTTCAGCGAATTAATGAATTCGAGTGGTTGTTATTTTGCCCATTTACACAGTTTTACAGGATGTATTGGTAACAGTGTTCGAAAACGGAAGGCTTCTCGTTGATTACAGTTTGGAAGAGATCAGGGATCGAGCTGAACTTGATATTGTTAAAGAGCATAAACGCAAAGTTGTTGAAGCGGAAGCAGCAGTGAGAACTTTAAATGGTGGGTCGTGGGTAGCTGCCAATGGTAACTTCGTTTCCTGACTATAATTGTGGTGTTCAGGTCTGTTCATTGAAGTCTACGGAATGAGTATGCTTTTGAAGTCAACATATTTTCGTGCTAAATGAACGGAATCATTATTTTTATGTAGACCGTCGTGGAAATAGTTTATGAGAATGTGTTTGAGGTAGTTCTTATTTAAAAATTTTCATGTTAGCATTTCGCATGTTGTTCTAAGTTTTTACCAACGCGTGTATTTTCAGGATGTTTTGAAACTCATTTACTAAAACCATCTTAGTAACTGGTGCTTGTTCCAGTCGAAATAGTGATGCTCTTCCCGGACACAACTGTCCCCTTTTTGAATGCAAATAATTTTTGATGCTGTTGGAGCTATTACATATTATGAAAAATGTATCCTCAAAAAAACAGATCATGTATGGAAAATGTGGGAGTAATACTTTGTTCCACTACTTTTTGGAATCCTTACAGTATGTTAATAATTTTACGATCTCTGTGTCTTTGTTCACTACATTGACGGATGTTGTGCGTTGTTTTCATATTGTTGCTGTTTCGTTTACCTCAGCTATGCATTATTATATTCAACTTGAAGCAATCCTTTATGGATTAAAAAATTGCTAATTCATTTCCGAATAATAGAAAATATGATATGGAAGCCATCTAAATAGCGATAGCAATCCGTTGCGGAATTGTCACTATTTTTTCGCGGTTAATTTTTCAAAAGTTTTGTTTTGTTCATTTTAATTTTCCATACATGCCAAAAATTCAAATTTTGATGTGATTTTTTTTGAATGCTTAAAAATGCACAGTTTTGCAGCATAATTTTTATATAATCTTTCTTCTCTGATAGTTATTATAATTACTAGTTAGTTTGATTCTATATGCACACTGTATGAAAGTTTGTTTGACAATGAATGCAGATAGTGTGAAAATAATTTATCAATTGTATTGTCATGTGTATTGTCATCCTATTCATCAAAAATTGCCATCCATTTAATTTTTTTATTAATATTCCTTATAATTAAGCAGAAATTATAACTAATTCTAAGAGACTAATTCATACCTAGACTTTGTTATTACTATCAGTAGACGGTTGGTCTAAATGAACGGATAAATCTAGTAGATTCTGAAATTTGATCTGTCAAATGACTCATAGCCGAGTTGACATCACAATGCATTACTATTTACTAAATAGCCAAATTGTCGTAGTAGACTCTGAAATCAGAATGTTGTATGAAGTGATCATGTTTCGCAGCAATATTGTGAGAATGTGACGGAAAATCTAATCTCTTTGAATTGCATCTTTGTTATGATTTAATGATGTTGGTAATGTTGGTTATATAATATTAGCCTTTGCTGTGGTGTGTAGCGGGTTAATTACCATCCGTCCAAAGAATATATCGAGAAACTCTGTCTTTTTTTCATTTGCAAGAGGAAAATATTACAAAATTCTTTTTACCTGAGGGTTGTTAGCAAAAGGAAATTCAGTCATCTAAAAAATCTGGAAAACTTGATGCCTAAATGATAGAAACAATGAAGCGGATGACCTATTGAGAGGGTTTGTTCAATTAGGACATTCTGTGTCGGTTTTTTCATTTCGAATATAACATTCAATGTTGGTTTTTTGAGATTCTTAATTTCAAGAATACATTCGAAGGGTGATTTCCCAATTTAGACAATGTTTCTGCGGTGTTCAGTTAGGTTGCGCACAAATTCAGTGCGGTTCAGTTCTGCAAAACAAAAATTAAAGAATTATATTTTTCCTGTAATTCGATCAGAAGATTGTGTTCAGGCAAGTCTGCTGCTCCACCGTTATTTATACTTGTTCTTGTAATGTTTACCTATTTATACTTGCGGGATATGGGGCAAAGCTTTCATAATGCATGTAAGAAAGCATCAATCTTCTGGAAATTTGTACTTACGTCCTTGAAAAGTTGGATAGAGACACATCCTCACGATGTTGTTTTACAGAAATTCATTTCCGGATGGGGTCCTGGTGGACAAAAGGTGAATATGACGAGAAATGCAGTAACGATCAAACATATACCTACCAGTATCGTCGTTCGAGTCCACCAATCGAGACTTCTGCAGGAGAATATTGAAATTGCTCGGGAAAGGTAAAGATAGGGTTGCAGTTCAAGAATTGAAAATGTCTGTTCAGCGATGGCGCGGTATTTCAAAGGGAATAAAAGGATAGAGAGTTTGCCTTTTATTCAAGGTTCTTTGTTTTTAAGAGGGGCGTCAGTTGGGCTTATCGGTTTTAGAAGAAAAAAAAGTCTACTTTTGGTGAAACATGCTGTCTGTTGCGCAAAAAAATGCTGTTCCGGATAATCACACAGTTTTGATAAGCCGGAATTTTTTAACGTTTTGGGGGATGGATGTCAAGTTATCACAGGATAATCACACTGTATCTCCTTTCAAATGTTTGGACGACATAATTCTCTGAAAGTATGCTTTGAATTTCCTCATCAACCTTCAATTTAAATCAAGTATTACAGGTTAAAACATGCGGTAGATCGGCATTTGAACGGCGAAAATTCATATGATGCTCAGCTGAAACGGATGGAGCTCGAGCGATGCGCAAGGAATAAGAGAAAGAGGGCAGCTATGCGCGAACAGAAAAAAATGCATGCTCAGGAAAGATCCAATCCTGAAGGCGACGAAATCGGTTTGGATTCTGTATGAAATATTTCTACTTTCTGTTTTTCTGGCCGAATTTTTTTAAAATGACACATCTCTGTTTACGGTGAGACGTACTCCACTTAGCGGTGTGAGACATCAGCTGCGTGTTGTACGAAAAAACTTGAATGACATCAGTGGCATTAAATACTATTTGATTGATGACATTATTTTAGCAACAAATTCAAGGTTTTAATTCATAGATAAGTCTAAGGATTTACGTACTAGCAGTTTATTATATTGCATTCTACTGTCCAATTTTTTATCTCATTACCATTAGTCACAGTAACGGTTAGATGAGTTAGGCTACAACTGATCATGAGATTGGTTCAAAAAATCAATGATGGTCATTATTAACCAACCAGGGCAGTAGCACTTTTTTGATTTTTCATGTTTCTGAAAAGTATTGTTTTATGATTCTGATATTTTCATATTGCTTATATATAATTTATTATAACAATAAATTGCAGGTGAAAAGTGACTGATTTACCAGTTGATGATCAGGAACATCAGCAAGTCTATATCTTCCGCATAAGACGTTGTTAGTCCTGCGCATGTACCATATGCTAAGTTACAAGCATGAACGATTGAATTTGATGGGCTGCAAATGACTGCTTCAAAAATTGTGAAATTTACTTGGTGCATGTTTATCTTGAGCGCTTTTTATTATCTAAAAACGAGTTAACGTGGATCTCCTTTTCTTGATCAAAACCGATTTTTGCGCTTAAACTGACCGATTGCCTAGCTTAGCTTCTCCCATTATGTTGGATGTAAGATGCTGGATGTTATTGGAACAGCGTGTGATTCGTGTAGTAGCAATAAGAAAAACTTGCTAAACGTGCAAAATCTTGCAGTCAATGATATGAAGAATCTAACTTAGTTAGCCAATACCTGAAAAATAAAGGCACAAATTGTCATATATTAGGAAGTTTCTTGAACGCTAAACGCATACATTTGTATCCTCTGAGATAACGAAAAAATCGTGGGACAAATATTGTTGCCTTTCAATAAAATGTTTTATTAATGAGATGAGAGATTTAAAGGATATGAATATGCATGATTCCTGATATACGAAAATTAGGCTCGAGAACATTTAGCAAATTAAATACAGCAACATCATAACAAACCAAAACTTTGTATTAACTTCTGGATAATTGAGCATGATGATGTTACGTGAAGACGTGGGTGAATTGTCTGGATATTCTTTTTAAAATACATTATTGCAAAACTTCGAAATTCACAAAAACTTGCGTATGGCACTACGCATGTATGCTATGTTGATATTTCTGAAATGAATGATTTCAAACGGTTTAAGAATCCGCACGAGTCAATTGATTCTCTAGCTTATTAGGAAAGAATATACGCAGCTGGGGATAATGCCAGTTTGTCATACCATACCTCTTCATCGTTGTTGAAATTCTTTTTTCTCACACTGGGAAAAATTTGAAATTCTAAAATTCCCAAAATTTCCCAAAGTGTAAATGTGCAAATGCTGTCGTAAATCGTCTAAGTCTACTTCTATGCATTCTTCTGAAATTATCTTGTCAAGTGCAACTAGTTTTTTTGTAAAGTGATTTGATGTAGTGCATTTTGTTTTTTTTGTTTTTTTTTAAATTTCACTGAATATTACGCTATTGATTCCGATTACAGCCGTTGAAATAAAAAGAAGAAATGCTATTGAAGACATGGATCACTCTCAATGATAAGATAATTTGAAATCCATAATATGCAATTCTGAAGCAATTTTTATTTCCGAAATTTTCATTTCACTCATTAAAATTATGATTTTGCAAAAACATTTAGATCTTTTCAAACATGAAAAAAGTAAATGAAAACATCCGAAATTTTAAAAGTGTGTAAGAATGACAAACTGTTGTTTTAGAAGATGTATGAAAAAGATGATGGTTTGGATGACTGAGATGATTTGGAGACTATATATATATATATATATAGGGAATGACGGAAAGGCATGTATACAGACAATGACAAGATATATGCTTAGAAAGTCGTACTTCTTGTTGAAAAGTCTGTATATAAAGCATACGTGGAGAAAAAAATAAACGATTTGAAAAGTATGATAACATCTCGTAAATGCTGAAGAAAAAAAGTAACGCAAAAAAGAAAATACAAACATGAAGAGTTCTATAATTTGCCTAAAAAATGCATAACATTGACAGTTCTCAAAATTTTCAATCAATCTGTACTATTTTACTTCCAGAATGTTATACCGCTAAATAACAGCAGTGAAAGCAAATAATGAACATTTTGGTTCATGCAAGAATCACACATTTGAAAATTATTAAAATCCATGCTTTGAGATAATTATGATTAGACCATATCACTATTAAGTATAAAATACTTGCTAAGTTAAAAGATAGCTTTCGGCAATGAGGAAAAGAACAGAAATTTTACATTGGAAGAGGACGAAATATGACATATGGATAACGTTCAAAATTACATGAGAAACGGAAGACTATAAAATCAAAATAGAAAGCATGAGAAATACAGAAATTTATGGTACAGGACATTTCAATAAACATGAAAATCTTTAAAAATGATGTAAAAGTGTGCACATTCCTGTAATCCATACAAATGTATTATGCATATTTAAAACGGAAGAATGCCTATTATTGGAATTAATACAATGAATAGGAGAAAACTGCTAAATTTGTAAACAAAAAGAAATTGAGAGACAAACTATGAAATCTAAAAACATCTAAAACGAAGTAATAAAAATTAAAAAAATAACAAATGATAATGGTCACCTCTAAATCTTACCACCGCCCAACAATATCAACAGTGGTCTAACAACTCAGAGCGAGTAATAATAAGTTCCATTCAGAAACGGTCATAACTAAATTTTCATATTTCACAGAAAATCAAACTGGTTGAATACCGGATTTTATTAATTTTTCATTTTCTTACAGCAGCAGTTATTTAGTTTGATGAACTTTTGGTCGTCGGAATGGCATCAATTTTTGGACTTACTGAATCACGACTTCGTTAATGCAGTAACAGTAAGTTAAGCGTTCAGTCACGCTCTCTAAGTTCAGTAAAACAACACATTGTCAAGCGATTCGTTTTTTGCAAGCGTCAAATCAAACTGACTACACCTGTAAGGAAGCGAAGACTAAATTCTCACAAAATCAACTGTCTCGACGAAATTTGAACAATGACAAATCAGCTAGTAATCTAACCAAATAGTTTGCTTTAGTGAACGCAGAAAATCACGACTGAATGCTAAAGATGATAATGCTGCATGAGACAAATTGTGAATTATGTAGAAAATACTTCCTGATCGCTAAAAGCACAATAAGCATAACAGCAAGAGTAAGAATACGAGTTCAGTCTTAAGTTTCTTCATACTTCAACATTATCAAAATCGGTCACTATTTTGCCAAACGCAACCTAAATCGATCCCAAGATCAAAAAGTAACAAACAAAACTGAATTGAAGTTAAAGTTACAGGTGTTTAAGTTTGAGATGCCGATAACCGCTGAGATCCTTTTTCCACTATGAAACAAAAAACATAAAACAACTAGGTTACAGAGGAAATCATCACACGATTCTTATTTTATACATGTGAGACATTTAAATGAACAGATTTCACAAAAATTTAGTAAACTGGCATAAAGACTGCTTACTGATATCACATGGATGACTAGTGCTTTGGCAGTCACATTGTATCAATCATTGTGGGAAAATTATCTGACCACCGTCCAGGAAAAATTTCGCCATTCGAGTCATTTCTATCTGCAAATAGAATTCCGTATGAATTAAGTATTTGGTGAACTGTCAAAGATGAACAATATTAGAGAATTATTTCGTATACAGTGGCGAAGTTCAATAAAACTGCAAGCAAGAAATGTACTGAATAACATAATTCTACATCAAGAGAACTTAAATTTACCTGATGAGGTGTCTCTCCGCAAGTTATTTGAAACCATTTTTTTGAGTTCTGGAAGTATTTGATTTTCAGAGCACAATAAAAGGCAACTGCTAATTTCAGAACAAAAACATTTGCGAGTACTTCACTTTCGCATAAAGATAATTATATCTAAGATGCATCAATAAACTTAACATGATATTTGAAGTAACATTTTTCTTACTCTTCTTATAAGTTACTAAACGGATATGAGAGGCAAATAAAAATTGAAGTCTTACCACTTTCAGCGCTTTTGTTGGTGGTCTGAATGGCCTGTTATTGTAGTTGGTTTCACGAAGACACATCCGATTTGAATTTGCAGATGATGAATTACTTATAAACCTGGGGTAGAACTGTTCAATCTGAAAGTGAAACTTTTTAGGCCACAAATCATCCCATTTATTGTTTATGCGTAGATCACGTATAAAAATGCGTACCCTTCGTAGCGATATGCTTGCCTTCTCTACTTGACTTATCCTCGTTACTGGTAAAACTGTAGCCTCGGTGTCAGTGCTTGTTACAGAAGATAAGAAGCTAGCGTTGTGCAGTCTGAACTGATCAACTGGCTCACATAAACTGCAATCAAAATATCATCCGTAGACAAACAATAAATATAATAATTTCAAAGTTGCAAAATTGAAGTAAATAAGAACTGACTGACCAACAACCTCAATTATTAAAAAACACTGATGAAGAACGAAAATATTTTTGTTCTACTAGTAAACCTCAAAATCTGATTCTTTTCTTTACCGTAACCTACCTCAAACATACACTAAATGTTCCCTTCTCTTTACGCATCACTAAGTGGAAGTGAAGCGTCTAGTGAATAATTATCACTTGAATAGCACTGCAGACTAATCGAGAGGTACTAACACGTGATTCACCGATCAAAGATTGTGATCTTGAAGAAGTTGTGAACCAGCAACATAATTTTTTTTCTGTTATATCCAACGTACCTGCTTTCCAGCGGACCATTTGCTTGTTCAGGAATGGTATAATGTGAAGAAACGAAAGCATGACTCCTTGAAATGTCATCATTTGAACTGATATGCAATGAAGCTGACGTAAGCAACGAAAAGTTATCGTCAATGAAGTTTGCAGCCATATTCTGAAAGTGAAAAAAATGTTTCATTGTATTCCTTTAATTTCATACTTCATTTGCAAATATTTTGCGCTCTATGATTTAAATTAGATACAATAGACCGAAATATACTACAGCACAGAACTATTTGCAAACGGTAACGACGGAAAATAAGGGAGTGCTTCACTGATCACTTCAACGTATATTTTGGAAGCCTTGCAAAAATGCTCCTGATTTGAAGGGAATGTCATCCAGAAGATGATGGAACACAAACCATTTCGTTTTTAAACCCTTTACTGGGCGTTTCCACCATTCCATATAAAACAGCGGAGTCTGCCACGATGTCATCATTTTCATCATCAACTGGTGACCTGAAATGGAGGTAAAACTTCGAACTTCTTTCAAATTCCATCAAACGACAGTTCAAGAATATGGAAATACAGTTCATTTAATTTATAGGGAACATTCCGACTTTATGCGACACACGCTCATGACAAACACACATAGCAGTCTAATTCTTTAAAATTTAGACATTCAGAACCGATGTACAGGAAAAACCGTCTGGTTACGTGGCTTTCTTTGCCATCACATTAAACCCATTACCAACCTATTCAACTTCACACTTTGTTAAGGAAATGCTAATTGGATTTCAAGCGAACGACAAGCTGACCGAAAAGAGGAGTCTTTGAAGGAGGTAGACGGTATCGCTCCACTTAGTGCATCGTCCGCCATATTGATAGGTATTTCATTTTCCGGTACACTTGTCCCACTAAATCTGTATTCTGAAAAAAAAAATCATTTTCAAATTTGGTTTATGAATTACGAAAAAGTTGGAGAGCAATTACTGATAATAGTTCGCTAAACGTAAACAAAACTAGTTCAGATTTACTTTGTTTCTATGCTCAACCGAATAAAATCATATCAAAAGAAGTATCTGATTCAAGATTACTGAGTTTATAATCCTACGATTATACTGTGGTTCCGAATTCAATATATGGTGATCCTTTTCAACATTACACAATGAAGAACTTATTTTTACATCCTATGCTCTCATAATCACTTGTTTTCATCCGTCGCTTACCTTTTCGAGGACACATTTATGCCACACTCTTTTGAATTCGTGTTACATCTTCCTTCCTTGTCACTAGTTACGTTTTCGGAAAAAATGCTCAGACTATCAGCGCAATGTGTCAACCGTCGACAACTACGAGCTAGATATGGCTGAACGTCGGTCCACGCTTGTTTTTCTAACCACTTATTTTAATCGATTTACATCGGTTTTGGCTGTCCATAGATCCTATGCCTTTATCAAAATTCAAAATTTTTACCAACAGCTTTGCCAGGATCCGATAGACGAAACTTCGATGGAGGCGAACAATTCTCTGGTGGACAGAAGGCATCACTAAACGCAGATACATGGAGAAAAGACCTAAATTTTCACATATAAATGAATATATGTGAAGTTAAATTGTAATCAGTTCAGAAGAAACCATGAGACATAACAGACCAATGCCAAAGGCATATATACACATGCTAATGCTGCATCCAGCTATGCGAGACAAAAAGCAGCGGAACTGCATGCACCACCACGACATAATTCTTTATTTGTATATGGCTTTGACTTTCTCGAATACTGATGTATTTTCACACAATTTCTTAGCTGCTATTTCATTATGTACTTATGAAAAACAATATTAAAACTTACTTTAATGGTGATTGTGAGGAAGGTGAATTCGTACTCGGTGACTTTTTCCTAGTTGGTGTCCTTAACGTGGGAGCAGTATCCGACAGACTGACCTGAAATAATAAACTGGTATTAGCCAAGACTTTTATAATTGAGAAACGGCTTGCAGTAACAGTTCTCAAATTTATTGCACTAGCCGTACTGCACAACTGGTTTCCAGGACTCACAAAAGTAAGAATTCCGCACTTATTACCGAGTTATGAGTGAAAAATAGAGTTTAAATTCGCTCGAAAGTGATGAGATTTTCACAGCTTACTGATTTTGAGGGAGGTGAACCGAATATTGATGATCCTAAACCGGAATCTGCGAAACTCGTAGAACGTCTTGAACGCTTCCGTTCCGGTGTTGTTAACACGCTGCTTTTAGATGGCCACTGGAAATGGCCTTTATATGTTATACTTCTCCGGCCTGCACCCTCCCTTTCCATTGTTTTCATTGTTAGACCATCAACCTGGAATTTGGAAGAAAGTAAGTTGAAATACATGACAAACTTGCTAATGCATCGTTAGTAATATGAAGCTCAAACCATTTTTACTCTCATTCCCCATGCTTTTTTATGATTAGAATGAGAAAATCAATACAGATTTTACTTAATAGGTAAACTACTTTGCAGAATAATTTATTGATAAAGAGTAGTTGACTCGGAATTTGTCGGAAAGATCATGAATGTAAACGGGAAAAGTTTTATGTTGGAAAAACGTTTTTGGATAATATATGAACACATAGAAATGCAACTTTCAATTAATTGGCTGATGAGCCAAACTCTCCCAACCTAGCACAAATACGTTTTTTTCAAATGCACATTCTCGTAATCTAGCACAGATGCGTATAACACAATATTGTTAAGTTTTCAATTATAATAATAATGTAGGCATATTATCAGAATTTGTAATACGTTGCTTTCAGTTACCATATAAAAAAATATAGCTTTTCGATTTACCAAATTTATTGCAAATTTTAGTATCTGACTGATTACTTAAGCTTTAGAAGTAATGAAAAACAATAAAAAAGTTATAAAAATGTGTTTCAAGTATTCAAAAAAGAAAAGAAAGTACAGACCAATCCTTAACTTGAACACTCCCATATAATGTTAACTAATGTTAACACAGGAAACATTAACGAACCAAGTTCCATGATAATCTCAACTTTTCGGATTCCCAAACAGGAGCAGGAAATCTAGAAAATCCCCCTCCCCTATCAGACCCAACCTCAAATTTCAAATCTACTCGCAGCAAACCACATACAAATGGAATTACACGAAGCGCGGCCTTTTCAGTGTTTGCTGTGAAAATTTTTCTATCGCACTGACAGAAAATTAACAAAAAATATTAAAATTGGATTAAATTGTTTCAAGTTAAGTAAAAATTACATCAAAAATGGACAATAAATGGGTAAAGGGTTTTTTAAAAAAAAAATATAAAATGTAATTGATTTAATTAAATTTTAAAAATATTACTTGTTAAAGTAAATATTCTGAAGTTCATAGCAATTCCATTGATGAAAAGATATCGATGGGAAAACATTGAGGATTTTTTTAATGGAAAGGATAAAGTTAATCTCAATAATTCCAAGTAATATCTCATATGTCTCCGCGATGTCTGTCTCCTTTTTTCTATTCCTCTCTTCTTATCTCTTGTCTATTATCCGTCGGTCTTCTCTTTTCTCCTATCATTCCGATTTTGTTGCTTTTACAATTTCGATTCTTAGCTAATGTTTTGATTTGTATTAGTACTCAATTCTTTTCAAACCATATATGTGCAAAAATATCAAAAGTAGTTTCGAAATTTACCGAATAAATTATTTTTCAAATATTTTCCATAAATCGTTCTTTAGCTTATCGATCATTTGCCGTATTGAATCAAGCCATTAAATCATATTATCAGGATGAAATCTATCATTAATTTAACAAATATCAAATATCGTATACTCAAAGAAGCATGAAAAATGGATTCAATAAGCCGGATTGCAATAACCGATTAAGGCGGATATATCACATAAAAAATGGAATGTTTAAGTTTTATTCAATTTTTGTTGATACTATGATAAAGATGATCAAAGTATTAAAACCATTCACAAAATCATTTTTGAATATCATCCTTTTTTTTCTTCTTTCATTATCTAAAGTATTTCTATCTTCAAATCTTACTTGAATAATTTTATCATATCAAGAAATGATCCATCCATGCATCTTTACAACTAATATCATAGGTTAGGGCAAAGGAAAAATTAAGAGAGAGAAAAAAGAAAGCAAAAGAAATGATAATCATAATAAATCTTCCTGCTATTATCATACAATCATTTTGATTAATTCAAATTATTTTTAAAAATTATTCTTAATAATTAATAATCAATTGTGAACTATTCCTGAAGATAAGCAATTATCTATTATCATAACTTAACTTATCCTATCACACATATGTGTTAATAACTATTGTCGGCGATAATTTACACAACAATTGAATAGAATCCCTTGAATGGGACCTGTACAACAATTTTATGTAATAATAATTATTAATAAATTTTTTAATCAAAATATTCGGAAAAAAAGAGCAAATTTTCGCATAAAATTTATTTGTCCTAAATTTTTGATTCAAAAAAAATTATTAATATTCATAAGAATCGATACTTACCATTCGGACTTTTATGGTTGGTGGTAATAATCGATTCCCGACATCAATTCTCCTCATGTTTTGATGATGATACAATGTTATAATTACGCAATGGTTGGGAGCTGCTAGTAGTGGTTGATCGAGTGGTCGAGGTCACGATGACCTCTTTCTCTCTGTTAATTGATTTTTTCGGGATCTTTTTATTTTGTGGCTTTTTTTTCGTGTTTTCCGATGTGAGATTTTTTGTTAAGAGTTATCGTCTTCGATAATTACCATTTCATTTCTACACCCATTGTCCCTGACATGATTCCATATAACATTATTATGCTGCATTAATACATCCCCTCCCATTCATAATTTGCCGACATTCTTCAGGAGATGACCTTTGACCTTGATGAGATTATTTCAAGGATACAACTATGCATATGCACATATATGATTCCATGACCATATATCCTCTTTTCCATACCTTTCACATTACTATCATCAAATAAATGGAAATTTTTAGGGAAAAAACACAAAGAAAAAAGATTAGACACTAATATGAAGTATAAAAAGCACAAATTACCTACCTATCAGGTATACCAGGTATATTTTAGGTTTCAACTTGTAGTTTTACCTATCATTATTTCATTATATTTCAATAATTGTAATCAAAAGATTGTTAAAATTTCTACTTCTTAATATCATTTTATATTTACAAACTCATCGTCAAATGTTAGCAACTGAAGATATTCAATGTTAAATAAAATTACCTTCATTATTAAAAAAATTCCTTTCTTTCTTTCTTTCTTTTGTATATCTAAAATTATGATAATTTAAAATTTATCAGAAACTTTAAAATTTTTCATTGAAATAGCAAAAAAAAAAGCAATAATGAAATTATTGCACGAATTTCAGGAAGAATTTTAAAGTTTCAAATTTTCAACGATCAATATGAAGTGTTATAATGATGAATCAGAATAATTTGATTCCATCAAAAAAAATCATCATTTTTTTCTTTTTGAAATCAAAAAAAAAAAAAAGAAAATCTCATGATATCATTTGCTGATAAAAAGTTTACGTTATCAATTTATGATATCAGTTAAATATTTGTAATTTAATCTTTTCAATTTGAATTATCTCTTTCACTGATATATACATATAATATCCTTAACAAATTCATCTTTCCTTTCTATTTTTAAACTGTGAAAAATCATTAAGCTTTTTTTAAAAAATTATTTACAACATTTTGCGAATGAAATATATTTTCCCATAATTAATAATATTATTTGCTATAAATGGAAATTTTATATTTCATTGCATTTCTTTTTTATTTTTCATTTTTTTTTTTTAAATTTTATATTGATTTTTGTTAAATGATTTGCTTTTTGAACATATCGAAATTCATTATTAATATTAATTAGAATTTCGAATTTCCAAACCTAATTTATTGCATTATTTATTCATTTGTTTATTTGCATGTTTGATTTTTTTGTCATATGAAAATAGGCCTTTTTGCATATGATAATATTTCATGCCTAATTTTCTATAAAATGTCATATAAAAATAGGCTTTTTTGCATCTAATAAAATTTTTATATTTTATACCTAATTATCTATAAAATTTTAACAAATTCAAAATTATCATTAACAACTTATATTGCCTTCTTTCTCGCTCTTTCACAAATTACCCATTGAAATTGTTATCGCTTTTTAGTTGAAAATGATTGAAAATTAAATGAATAGAGGAGAAGTGAAATAGGAGAGAAATTAATTATCTTTCATATTCTTTCTTCTTTGAAAAAAAAAGAAGTAATTATCCAAATAGATTTGAAAATTTTATAAAAATATTTTAATCTGTAATTTAGAAGGCAATATAAGTTGTTAATGATAAATGAGTAAAAAAAAAAAAATAAACAAATAAAAATTTGATAAGGTGAATTTCAATATTTCGCAGGTAATTTACATTTCATATCCGTCATGTAAAAGTTGATAAAAGCTTTCTAATCATTATCATTTTATCATTTTCAACTGAAAATTAGCCGTTGATTATATTCAAATGAATGAATAAATAATTCCATAATATTATCATTCATTGATAAAAGATATTTTTTTCAAAATTACAAAAAAGAAATATTTGATTTGTTTTCTCATTTTAATTTCTCTAATCTTTTCATTTCCTTTTTGCTATATAATATGCAAAATAATTTTTTGTATATAAGCAAAAAGAAAGAGTGAAAAATTTATTTTCATTAATAAAAATTCTTTTGTTTTTTAAAGGGAATATTTTTAAAGAAGCGGAAAAGTTTGTTAAAAAAAGTTTAATGAAATGAAAATGGCTGTCAAGAAGAGTGAGAGGTAAGAAAGAAGAAGAGAATTTAATTTTGAAGTAATGTTATTAGAATTTATCAAAATTGTCGTATGTATTAAAATCTTACCAATATCTGTTCCACAATACCAATATATGTTTGCTGATCATTTCTCTTTCACTAATTTTTGATAATTTTCGCATACAGTTAGTTGTGTTTATTATTCTAATAGCTTGAACAAGGATAAAGAGCTGAAAATACCGCAACATAGGACAGGTGAGAAGAGAAGAGGCAATGAGAGTGAATTAGATCACGAAATCGATGCTTTAACTTCATTCTGCTTTTTTAAATCATAACTTAGCTCTTCTGCTAGCTTAATTCACTTCGGCATTACCTGTCGCCTACTGCTTTATTTAATATATGCATGAATGCTTTATCGAATTCAAAATACAATTAACTCTCTCTAAGCATATTTGTCTGTCTCTGTCTGTTTGTGTTTTTAATTTTATCAACTATTTCTAGAAAGACAATTATCAT